AGCCATCTTCAGACTTCAGTACATCACCCAACATCCTGCTGGCGGACTAGCATCTAATCAGCTAAAGAAACATGAAAACATCAACCACTCTTGTCATTAGTCATAACTCATCACCGATAATAAGGCCGACTATTCTCCTGACCTCAAACCAGATACGCCGTATCCCGACGCAGAGAAATCTCCCATATGTATCCCCATCGTCAGATACCGTGTACTTCCACCTCCCCTTCTCCAAATAGTCCAATCCACGAGACTCCGGCCTCTGACAGCACAGACAATCAAGTCAGCGTCGCCAGCATAGCCTTCATCAGCCTTGGCGGGGGTCCTGTAGGGTTGGAACACACGTCAGTATAGCCCTTATCTCAGTTTGATGCCCCGGGAAAGACAGGACAAACGGCACAAAAAGAAAGGGAAGAAAAACAGAGATGGAAGTCAAAAAAGGTAAAAAGAGCACAACCCCTACCCTAACGAAGCAAAGGAACACCATAAACCACAAAAGTCTGGTAGAGAAGCGGAGAAGAAAAACGCACCGCCAACCCATCATCGGCGCCTCGGCACGCTAATAGACAGCCTACCTCTCTTATCCTTCTCAATCCTGACGCCTCCGCGGGCAGGCTCCTCCAGGGTTTCCACCTCCTCCTCGTAGAGGACCAGCTCGCCCGTCGAGAGCCTCTCGGCGCGGACCAGCTCTCCGCCGCCCCGGCTCGACCGCCTCTCCCTCCGCGCGAGCTGCCGCTCGAGGTGTCTGATCTCGGACCGCAGCTCGTCCGAGTCGCGCGAGCCACGCCTGGGGCGTGACACGGAGCGGCTGCGGTGGTCCGTCGTCACCAGGGCGAGCGGCCCCACGGGCACCCGTTCCGACACCTCGCGGGCCCGGGTGTCGACGATGACGGGCGTGGCGCTGGTGCTCGTGGTGGCGTACGAGGTCGTGTCGTACGAGGTGCTCGTGTCGTAGGACGCCGTCGTGTACGTCCGCCTGTCGGGCGAGACGTCGCGGATCAGAGTGGTCTTGACAACCTCTACCGGCTGCTGTGGGGGCGGACGGGCATCAATAATGACGGGCCCGTTTGACGCTCGAGGCGGCGCGGACATCTCCACGATTTCGGTTCGACGTTCTTCGATGATGTCGCCCGCGCTTGAGCGAGCTGCGATAATCTCGAGTTCACCTGGATCCGTGGGTTAGCGCCGTCATGTTGGCCGTTCTGAGCACTGACGACCTACTTTTCTTGTAGTCATCGCTGAGCTTCAGTAAGTCATCAATATTCTGTTGCCCAAGCGCTTTTTGAACTACAATGGTTTTGCCCTACATGAGGCTATCAGCGTCTGCCTGCTGTTTCCTGCCCAGAGCCGGGCAGCTTACCTCTTCGATGAACGGATACCCAAGATCGATGAGAGCTCTCTTGGAGACCAAACGGGCAGGGATGCGAGTCTTGCCCTTCTTGGGATATTCGCTCCTCAGCGTAGTGCCGCCGGAACTGCTCGAAGAGCTAGTGCTGCTTGACCTTGATCTCCTGGTGGCCCTTGACTCCCGGCTGCGGGTTCTGCGACGGGTGCGGACAATTTCCCTCTCACGTACCCGCTCTCCCGGGATGTGGAAGTCCTCATCGCCGAAGCGGTGGGGATCAGAGACCTGGATTTCATCGTAATATTCCCGGTCATACACCCTAGGAGGAGGCAATGCCCTTGATCTCGGTAGTGGCATGTCCACATAGGGTGGCACGCGGTAATCATCGCGCCTCGCTGGCACATCGTATTCGTCGCGCTCAAAGTAGCCCCTAGGCCTCCGATCAAATGTGTCGAGACTCGACTGGCGTCTTAGAGGCCGAGGTGGCCGCCGTAATGGAGGTGGAGACGGGCTGCGAAATCTCTCCTTCTCGATAACAACTCTGGAGGAGCGCTCAAATTCCAAGGGTGGGGGTGATCTTCGTCGCAGATCCGGAGGCGGGGAAGGCCGACGCCTTAGAGGTTCATCATCGTAGACCACGCGACGACGTTCACGTTCGCGAAACACCACACCGTCCTCCTCATGCGGGCGGAAACGTCGTTCAGAGCGGTCGTCAACGGACCGATCGCGGGGCGGCGGGGGCCGGGAGCTCACACGCCGCACGTAAAGACGGTCGTCATCGTCTTCGAATCGATCTCGAATTTCAGAGTAGCGATCACGGTCCGCCTCGTAACGGCGAGGAAGATCGGGTGCATTTGACCTGTAGGCCATAGCAAGGGAGAGCGGACGAACAAATGGACAGGTGGAGAAGAGTGCGGAGCGCAGGCCAGGCACTCACAAGCCTAGACTTTTCTGATCCCAAGTTTTGTTTGCTGAACTGTCTGTGTACTTCCTCTGACAGGTGGGATATATCAGACGGTTTGGAAGGGCGGAGAAAGAGGGGTGCGGAAGGGGTTGCAAAAACGCAGCGGTCTGTGTCCAAGATGTTGGTCTGATGACGACACAAATGGGTTTGAGCTGACCAAAAATAGCAGGGGTATGAGAGCCTAAGGAGGGGAGGGAGCCAAAACTGCCGAAGTGCACTGGCCAAGCGCATGCATTATGTGGCCTGTGCGGCTGTATCACCCACTTCCCGTCACTCTTTTCATCAATTCTACGAGCTTTGAGCAAACGTCTGCTTATTGTTGAAAAAGAGCCCAAACAAGAATTGCAGTAATGCCCATTTTGAGCGGCGAGGCTGGACAGCCCCAATTTCTACGTGGTCTTCAGAGTTATAGAGTACTACGGCTTGCTTTCTGTCACTGGTCCCCTGTCAGAGCTCGTGTAGCTCTCCTCCTTTGCCCGCAATAAAGCTGGCCACGGGAACGACTCTTTAACAACCACCCATCAACGCCTAAACTGCGCAGAAAATAGTAGCCGAGCAAACGTTGCTGGGGCCAGCGCGCTTCTCCATACTTCCATATGGTGGGTGGTGCTACTTCTCGTATTCTCCGCCGCTGCATTCTTCCAAGTGTTGAGATGCGGATATGTGAGTGGGGGCCTCTCTAGCCTTGCGAAGTGGCACCCGGATTGGGCTCAACATCTGCACCGTTGATCATCTTCATTGCTCTGCAGTGTGCTGCAGCCTGACGGACGGGGTTCGCGATATGATCTACGTTCTCTCGGGGGCTTTTATTAAATAACTGCCTTACTGCGTGAGGTATACCACGACAAAATCTCTCGTCTCGCTGCCCGAAGGGTCTTCCACTGCGCCTGCATGCATGATGACGTCGTCAGGTAGCTGCCGCCTCAACACCACAATCACGAAACCTCTCGATATAGATCTAATTGGTCGTCGATGTCTACCTCATGGTTGCTTTACAACACTAGAAGTTAGGCCAGCTTGCTGCTGTATCACATGAGGCTGTAGTCCCACCATCTTTTTGCGAGATTCCCAAGTCAAACCGAGAGACTTCTCATGGCAGAGCCGGCTATACTCCCCTCAAATTCACCAACAAATCCCAACACAATGGCGTTGATCGTCTGAGGCCTTCCTTTTCGTGTCTCTCTTTTTGCCTTGATCTCTGATATCATGCAGGACTTTTTCCTTCCGAAAATGGTCGACTATGCGATGAGATTTTTGCGAACCGAGCTTCTCCTTTTCCCTGATTCGCAATCAACTCCGGAAATGATGTGGCCAGCAAGCACGTAACCAATACCCTGTCGTACAACGCCAACGAACTGCAATCGACTTAAGCCGCGTTTGTGACCTCTACCGGCTCGCCATTTTGTATCTCTACGGGGGGTTCTGCGCCAGGCCGCTCACTCAGACCTAGATGAAAGCTCCGGATGATTGAGTCCGCGTCGTCAATAGCGATAGGCCGTACATCGGCGAGTGCCTTGATCTTGGCGGTACTGTAGACAGTTGGTTAGCCTTGTCCCCTTCTCTGTCCATTCCAGGTACATACACTTCCTTGACTTGATCATCGGTCATGTTGAGGCCAAGCTGTCCTACTCTCGTCTTGACGGCGTTCCAGCCTGTCAGGCGCGACGCAAAGTGGACATAGCGAGTCAAGCCAAAATCGGCCGGGTTGAGAATCTCATATGTGCTGGGGTTGTTGAGGATAGCCTTGGCGTGGATGCCAGCCTTGTGGGTGAAGGCACAGAAGCCAGTAATGGGGTTGTTGAAGGGGGTGTTAACCTCTACAGCCTCGGCTACCATGTCCTCAATCTGCAGGAAGTCAGAAAGAATTCATGCGGATACTGTGACGCCACTTACCTCCTTGAGCATGTGGAGCTTATACTTGCTCTTGACATACTCAGGGCTTGTAACCACCATGCGAGCCAAGAGGCCGCCAAGGGGTGTAATGCCGTTACGCTCACCAACTACACGGATCTGGTAAGTTTCCTCTTTCGTGCACGAATTCATTCGGGGGTAACTCACTGCCAAGGACGCTGGTGTCGATATGAGTAGCGCCGGCCTCCAGGGCGCAGTAACTGGAAAAGGTCAGCATTGTGTTTACTAGCAGGACAGACTGGGTGAACGCACGCATTGGCAATACTGCAGCCAGTGTCGTTGTGGAAGTGGGTTTCAATGTCGCAAGCTAGTACCAGTCAGCAGAACCCCGATCAGCAGGACCCGGCGGACGTACAAACGACGCCTCTCAGCGTCCGGACAAGCTATTATCCACGAGTCAGTGGTGGGACCGAAACGCGAGGTTCATAGAGCACATACGTCGTAGACCTGCCTGGGAGATGCGCAGCCGACGGTATCGGCAATACCAACACGGTTGACGCCAACCTTGTCGACAGCCCGGTATAGCGAAAGCAGATCGACCAGGTCGGAGCGGAAGGAATCCTCACTCGAGACTGCTGAGTGTCAGTATCGAAGCCACGCAACAAGCCATGGTCTCGATTGGCAGGATTGACTAAGGGTGCAGTGCACCCCGTAAGGACTGGACACCCCCTGGGGCAATTGATTCCCCTCGCATGTCCGGTCTTCAAGTCCCCAACCAAATCACCAGTCCTGACCACCGCCATGGCAGGATCCCGAGTCTGGTGTCGAGATAACTAAGGCACCGGAGGCCCGCAGTGCAAGGTGCGCCGATGTTTGATGGGTGCAAAAGAGGAGGCCAACTCACATCTTACTTCAAGGCCCTTAGACTTGATGTACTCGATGACCTCAATGGCGGTCTTTTCGATATATGCCATATCCTTGCCATGGCTATGTTCTCGGAGGAAGCTAGACGTGCCAATCACCACGTCAAGGCCGTCAACGCCAGTCTCGACAGCGAGCTTGGCATCGCGCATATCACAGCGAACATCTTGTGGGGCGTTAGACGCTAACGCTAAATGGAATGTAAGGTGCCGAGATCGGTGACTCACGTGTCAAAATCTTGGCCTATCAACGGGTTAGCCGGCAATTCATTCCTTTTGCTTCGGCAAGCGGGCGGGGAGCGCACCTTCAAACCAAGCTTGCAGATGGCCTCGCAATCCTTGCGAGACTGTTCTGAAGCGGCAGGCGATGTCAATTCGATGTAGTCGACACCAAAGGCATCGAGCGCTATTTGAGGCCGAGGTCAGTGGTAAGCGACCGTTAAGCGGGGTAAAGGGCACCGTACCCTTGGCACTAGTCACAGACAACAACAGTCAGTCAACGACCATTCCTATGGTTTCGCGGTTTCAAGGGCCGGGGTTACCAACATCTTGATCTTAGTCTCGGTGTCGAAGTAGGCGTTGGCGAATTGCTCGCCCTCTAAGCACGGAGGTTAATGGGGGCCAACTGAGGGAAAGACTGGTGCCGATTACGGACCTCGCAGAGTCGATTCGATAATCTTGAAGCTACCGACATTGGACAAGAAATCGCCGACCGGTTGGTAAGGATTCGAGCGGAAATGGGCGCCCTTGTGTCGCAAAGCATATCAGTATCACAACAGCCGGTCCTCGAGATAAGGGAGTCCAATGGACGCTTGCGGATCGGGACTTGCAGCACATACCCCGTTCGAGACACCGTTCGTGCCATTGGCACCGTTCGTGCCATTGGCACCGTTCGTGGAGTCTGTACCGCACATTGCGTATAGTTCTTGTGTCGTTCTTGGTTTCTGGTGCAATGGCAATCGCGGTCGAGGGAAAGGTTCGAGAAGATGCAGAGAAATTTTTTGGAAACTGGCAGGCCTCGCTTCCCGATGTCGCTGAAATAGTTGGTCCCTGGCTGTGTGCCCCTCTTGAGTGAGTCAAATCAGAGTTTTCCACGGCCACTGTAAGTGACCCCGCAGTGGCACAAAACGACGCCTGCAACAAACCCAAGATGGTTCTGCAAGGGTGGATTTGATTGGTTGGACTTCTTCACAACGGCCACAGAGAGTACGTCACAGGTGCTGTTGGAGTTTCTCCTTCAACTTGAGGTTAGAATTGAGCTCGTGACGGCATCCTGTCCCTTCACCAGACAATCACACGACAAATGTGTGGGTTTCATCTCATATAGTGATCCTGGAGTAGCAGTCCTTGCGCTCAGAACGAATATACGAGGGAACACCCCAACCGAAACCCAGGCTGATCTTGCGTGTCACCAATCTAGATCTGGTTTCTGCGTCAGGCACAAGGGACATGATCCGGCAACCTCCCCTGCCATGATCATGGAAGTCCACGGGCTGTCTACCAACGGGGCGGGTACCCCAACCCTCCGGACCGGGGCCCCGCATATTACTACTACATGCATACGCTAGATTATTAACGGGGTCGGATGCTGTTGTGGTGTCATAAGTTTCTCGTTCGTCATCCGGTTTGAGTTGAGCGTTGTCATCCTCTCCTGTTGGTCTGCAGCGCACTGTACTACGAAGTGCATCAGCTTCAATGCAAAATCCTCTGGAAAGTCGGGCAGTCCTCGGACACGCGCAAACTGGACAATCTCCTTTCCGTTCAGGGCAAGATAAATGGAATGTATCTGGACCCTGGCTGGCAAGGACATACTAAACGCTACATTGGATCCATGGATGGCCGGGGGCGTTAATGCGTGGCCTGATTCGATCTGCTGCCGAGCCCGCACCTTTCGATCCCTCACCGGCCCAGGCCAAAACCTAACCTGATGCTTCGAGTCGGGAACAGAAATAAATATCCAGAGAAAGTCCAGATCACACAATTTTAAACTGTCCCAAACTCGAAGTATCTTGAGGTTTCAGATACCGGCGGAACCAACACGATCACCAGAGCGGTACTTTTGTCTCCTGTGATTGCCCAAGGTTTATGCCACGCAGCGCTCCTTGAACAGCAGACAAGCGGATATGTGTATTGTCCTCCTTACGACGGCGCACCCCAAATACGCGCTAATTGTCCTTGACAACCGAGACGAGTACATTCTTCGGCCGACCAGTAGGCCGCATTGGTGGACAACCCAACCAGAGTCGCACATACCCGGCGGATCAGCAAACGGGTCAGCACGGAAGCCAAATGAGGCCGGTATAAGCAGTCCGCCCGGCGATGTTCATATTCTCTCCAGTCGAGACTTGCAACGGGCCGAACGAGGAACCTGGCTAGGCATTACCAAGGGTGGCAACTTCGCCGTACTTACAAACTACCGCGAGCTGGACTCGCACAATGCCGCGCACCCTGTGCACGCTCAGCGCAGCCGCGGTGGCATGGTGACAGCTTGGCTACGCGCGGACCCAGCCGAGTCAACAGCACAGTTTGTGCATCGCATGCTGGACAGCGGCGAGGTCAAAGGCGTCGGGGGCTTTTCACTGATCTGCGGCAAGCTGCGAAAGGTGAAGGGGGAAAAGAACATCGAGCCGCTTGCCATTATCTCCAATCGGTGCGACCACGTCGATCAGGTTCCCTGGATCTGCGGCCAGCGGGGCCAGACCTATGGTCTAAGCAATGCCACCTACCTTGAACCAACAGCGGAGAACAACAACGCATTGCTCTGGCCCAAGATTCGCGACGGTATCGATATGTTGAACGACGCCGTTGCTGCGACCTCGGGAAGTTCGAGCACCGAGAGCGAATTACTAGACTCATTCTTCAAGATTCTAGACTCGGATAAGTTCCCATCAGACCATACCATAGACTTGGACGACGGCCTCCCGCTGCTGAAGAACTCTATCTTCATTCCAGCCTTCGGTGGCAAGGAGCATCAAGAGGAAATGAGGGAAGCACAGCATCGTGGCGATGTGGAGAGGAAGGGACACGACTCCCCGGCTGCCGAGACACTCACGATGGTAGCTCGGCCAGATGACCAACCTAACGGGTTCGAGACAGGCCTCTACGGCACGCAGCGCCAGACAATCCTGCTTGTAGACTGGGATGGCAACGTCACATATACAGAACGTGCCCTTTGGGACTCAAATGGCAATCCAATCCCGAGAGGCTTCGGGGACGAGACCTTCAAATTCAAGATCGAAGGATGGGAATCGAGCCGGAAGCCGCGGGCCAATGGCGCAATGCTTTAGATGCAGTTTGCGGACCAAGGCCGTGTTAGAGGTGCCGGCAACTATTGTGACTTGGCACCGCGTACGACTTACAGCTTTGGCAGCATGAGCCTTCGACCAGAAGTTATATAGAATAGATCTTTCGGAGCAGACATGGTGTTCTGGGTTCAGTTGTTTCCTGGAGACAATGTGGAATGGGGTCGGTATGAGTTGCTTACATGACCATACTACATTATTGCACAGTTTATTTTGGCTTTAAGGGGCAAGAGTTTCAACACGTGCGAACAGGCGTGGAAATTGCAGTCCATTGCCTTCTGATGAAACAGTTTTTGCATGCTCAAGCCCATTCATCTGTTTTCTTACCAGCCGTATCTTGTGGCTTACTCCTTCCCCATCACCCAGCGCTTTACCATTACCACTGCCTCTACTACGCAGGTAGTAACGCTCAACCCGACCATCTGTGCGACTTCCCCAGCTCGCCGACAACCGCCTTCCCTCACCATCTCGCCCAAACCATATCTGTTCTCGCTGGCCTGAATCGGGGAGCGCGACCCGGTGATAAGTTCCAAAAAGGTGCGTCATCATCCAGCCCGGGCATGAGCCTGAACTACGACACAGGTCACATCGCCAGCGGCCAGGTCATTCAGCTTCTCAGCTTCAAGTGTGGCGACGGCCGGCCATTCAGAGACACTTTACCTCTTTACTGCCTCAAGAGATCTTGATATCCATTCTGCACCCAGTACTAATTCGCCATGACCAGTCCCTCTCGTAGCCCGCACTCCCGAAGCGAACCCATTCCCTTGGCAGCCAGGCCTGGAACGACCAGCAAAGCACATCAGCAGAGCAATATTAGGGACATTTTTCTTACCCCTGGCACAGCTTTCCGCGATCTCGCCGATTTGATCATCATATTTGGCCAACTCTTGTGGTCTACAGTTCGGCTCGCATTCGCCTCGACTCGCGCAGCACTCTACCTACAAAAGGACACGGTATACAGCCTCTTGTCGATTTCGGCGCGGATTCTGCGCACTTGGCTACTCTTTTCCCGCCTGGCCCTCGGCGTTCTCTACTTTAAGGGTGTTGATCTTCTCCTCAACACCGTGCTTGGGATCGTCTACCTTTTTGAGGCTGTCGTCCAGAGATGGAGAGAACTCCAACACAGAAAAGCTCTTGCTTCCCGGGACGAACAAAATCGGTTGCCAGGCTCCGACGAGTCAAGCCAATCGCCCCAGTGATGCTTACCGACTCGTCCATATCCAGCTTCTGCTCGATGTCTCAGAGCGCTTCAACTTCTGCTCATGCCCAGCAGGTCTCTCACCCTTTTACCAGCGGAATCAATTACAGCAATGACGAGAACCTGGCCTTCAATCCCAAGCAAACAGATGGTAGCACCACGCACGCGAATTGCCGAATTCCAAAATCACGGACCGTCACCACATTTTCGAGCACCACCATGTCTCGCTCCCGGGGCTCTCGACTCAGCCAAGGGTACACCAGCAGCCGCAACATCAGCGGTGAATCTGTCAATTCGGACATTGCCGCGCCCTTTCAAAGAAGTATCCGCACATCCTTTTTGGGGGTTGCCCAGAAACCATCAACTTCGACTCCTGATCAGCCTAGGAACGACCAAGATCCTGGGGCGATCCCGCGGCCGCTTCAGCCGTGGTCAACCCCTGAACCCAGTGACCCTCGTTTTGTCACAAAGGCCATGCCAGCTCCATACTGGACCGGACGATATACATCGATACACGACATGTTCTGCAACGAGCTACTAGCGCCGGACGCCCTCGGTTCCCTCATAGAAGCGCACGTAGACGGTGGCAGCATGCATGATCCCCACGTCTCTGCCTTCATGCGAGTTGTCCGAAAGCCCATCCTCAACAACCACAAAACTCCCACGACGACCCGCACCAGCCGTATCCCTCAATCCGCTACGAGCGGCGCCATCCTGCAGAGGTCAGCAGCACAACTTGGACATGGCGAAGCGCCATCCTCATCCTCCAGAGTCCACGCCGTCAGCAGCAATACTAGCCGCAGTAACAAGCCGGCTGGACGAGAAAGCAACATCCAATTCAAAAAAAACTCCGCCGCCACTGTCAGCCGCGCAGACGATGTCGCCCTCTGCCACCGCACCCTGGCCCACCTCGGGAAGCAGTGCATAACGGACGAGGCGCGCGAGTCCTTCCGCGCCTGGCGGGTGCTGTACGCGCGCATGAGGCGTGACGTTACACTGCTCCCTGCCGAAACTAACATATTTGATTTGGTGGTAACCGGTCAAGACAATATTCTGCTGCGGGTGGAGGCACTTGTGCCGGAAGAGATTGGGGCCGCATGGGGAGATAAGGGGCGAGGCATCATGGGTAGATTGAAGAGGAATTTCAGTGGTGCTTCCTTTTCGGCGGAGTGATGCTTCTTGTTTGGGCAAAGGGGTCGGGCGGGAGACTTCGAGGGGATGCGTTCAGCATGGGGGTTCTTAAATGGACGAATGGGATGACATACGTCGGCCGAGGGTGAGGGCATGGTTGGGACTGGAACTGTTCCTCTGATTGTTTCTATCTTCCTCGGTGTGGTTTCTTCTGACAGCTGGGTTGGGGCCGCGCTGGTGTTTATGGATCTCTGTCGTTTGGCATGCTTAGAGTTAGGGATGATCAACGGCTCGGGGTTATGGCGCAACATTGTCCGGTTACATGGGGATGCAATCAGCTCTTACAACCATGACGATACCCCTAAATATTGTTAGATAGGTGTAGGAGAGGATCAACATCAAGGCTATTTGCAGTTATGATGGGATGGAACTTGCCTGCATAGTACAAATGGTCGAATGGACCTTATAGCATATGTAGACATTCGGCAGCAATAACGAAGCTGCCTCGGTGGAGAGAAAGCAACAATAAACACAAGGCCAACCCGCTGAGCACTTCCTACGAGCAGACCATAGCCTAATCACACTTTCTAGACATACACCCGCCAACTCCATCCATGCAAAACTCATCAATGACTCCGGGTCCCATGGCAAACTCCTCAAGCTCGCTTTTTTATCCTGATAGCTCCAAATATAGAAACCAAGCCTTTCACTCGGCCTTCTTCCGACTCTTCAGGTAGTCCCTCAACTGCTCCATCTTGCTAGCGAAGAACATCTTCCGCCTGTCGCTCTTCCACACCAGCACGCCAATCTCCTCGGCGTAGGAGCACAGCGCCGCGTACTCGTCGGGCGTGTCAAAGTCCTTGAACAAGAAGCCGGCTGTGGTGCGCATGCGCTCGTTCTCGAGCTGCCACAGCCGGATCTGGTCCACCACGGTGGGCGGGAGCACGGGGCGGCCCGTCGCGGCCGCCGCACGCACCATTTGCTCGTGCGCGTGCGCCGCCAGGTAGCTGATGATCTGGTCGGCCGTGATGCCGAAGCCGATGGCGCGCCGGATCGAGTCGCGCGTCAGCCGGCCGGTAACCATGCCCGCGAAGCGCATGTTGAGCTGTGTGAACAAGGCGAGCACGGCGATTTGTAGGGGAGACGACGTGTAGGCGTACACGCGGTAGTTGGTCTCGATGATGATGAAGCCCTTGCTGCTCGGCGCGTCGGCCGCGGTTGTGCCTAGGCTGGAGGTGTCGCCGGACGTGTTGGTCGTGGCGGCCGCGAACCCGGAAGAGACGGAGCGGAGCGCCGACGCGCCGCTCGTCAGGGTCGTGGCCAGCCGCGTGGGGAAGTACTGGCGCGTGTCCTCGCGGGGGATGTAGATGAGGCCAAAGTCGACGAGGGCGGGGAGCATGTTGCGCCGCGTCTCGGTCAGGGCGTCCGTGTCGTACGCGCGCCCGAGCTCGAGCGAGGCCAGCATGAAGAGGAAGGAGAGCATGTCGATGCTGTCGGGTTTGGACTCGGCGGCGGCGGCTTGTTGGCCCTGCTGCGCTTTGGAGTGGTCTGCTGCCTCGAGCCAGAGCAGCAGCAGGGTCCATACCTGCGCGCCAGCCTCTTGTAGGAGGAAAGTGAAGCCCGCCTGTGTGATGCCGACTCCACCTCGCGTGTCGGATCTGCGCTCGACCAAGCGCCCCGCCAGCAGCAGGTCTTTCACGCTGGCCTTGGGTCCTCCCGCACCAGATCCCGCACCACCTCCTTCGCCATGCACCGGGACGCTGTTGACGACATAGTGCAGAATATCCTCCCACTTCTTACGTGCGTAGTTATCGAGATGAGCAATGTCAATACGGGGGTCGACGGGCAGCGTGCTTGGGACACCAAAACTGCTGTGTGTCCCGCCGCCTTCGAGGGCTAGGCGCAGGCTGTTTTTGAAGTTGGTCGTAAGTTGCAGTTCTTGAGGCTTGTCCTTGCCGGGCGGCGTGATCTGGATTATGTGTAGAGATCGTAGGATCGAGAGGGCACGGTCGCGCTGCATCTTGCCCTCGGCGCGTACCCACACATCTAGCTCAGATAACAACATGGGCGATGGCATGTAGAGGAGGGCCTGGACGAACACCTTGGCTAGGCGCAAAGCAATGTAAGCCGAAGCGGGGGAAATTCGTCCACAGTGGCAGACACATACCAAGGGCCGGCAGCATCCGGCGAAAGATGGCAAACGCTGTCGACGGCTGCTGGTAGAGTTTCCGGAACGTCGTCCCGGGCAGCTTCTCCAAGTAGTCGGAGAGCTGGTACGACTGCGGCGCCAGCGACATGTTGCTAGGCTCGCTGTGCTTTGCGCAGCAAACTTTTTGTTCCCGTTTTATCGCATTATCGTTGAAGATGTGACCTCGCGAGCTGCGCAGAGGCGGAGAGGCCCAATGGTGTCGAGTGCAATTGTTCGATATTTATGGTCAGTTAATCCGTTCCAAAATTTCTTTGATGTCGTTGTCTCGAGGCGTTGAGGCTGATGCGGGCTGTAGGTTGCAACTTGCAGGGGTGGGAAACGGATCGGACAGGGGCCCGGCAGCGTGAATGACAGGATCACAGCGGCTTGGCTAAAGAATCCCGAGTTCTGGGAACCACCACAGTGCGGGTTAGCTGGAGCGGATACTGTAGGCACCGCAAGCCTGTCACTCACCCCCGTCACAACTCCCGTCCTCCTCATCAGTCCCGCCAGTATCACTACCACCGCACCTCATACAAGGCTCATACATCTTGGGGTCACCACCAACCAACCATTACAGAGTTCAAGTTTATATCACAAGCGAAAATGCCGACTAAACTGCCCCCTGCGAGATTTGTCCGATCGGTATGATCCAACCTCCAACTTCCAATCGCCTTCAAGTTCCCAATGCCAGAACCCCAGCCAAAAAAAACTAACCCTCCTACCCATAGGTCCTAAAGTCCTTCATGGCCGAGTCTGGTCTTGAGCCACGGTAATAAATAAGCCTTCTCATGAGGTTCCAAAGCGCCACTGACGAGCGCTTGACAACCTTCCCCAGACTCTTTGGGCCGCACGTAGGCAAACACCTCCCTCACCTCCCCCCCCCCTTTAAAGAATAGATCTCTCAATGCTTACTCTACTCAAGCTCCGCATCACCAATGCCACAGAAGGAAAAGTCGATTTTGAGCTAGACATTACCAAAGACCACACCGTAAGATGAGGTTTGCCTGGTGCCAGGGGCAGCCATGGACCCCTGATACCCTTTGAGACCGCATCCGCTCATACCCTCCTCTTTCAACATGAACAGAACCGATTAAAAATTCTCCATGGCGGCACCATAGCCAGCATGGTCGACCTGGGCGGCTCGCTGGCCGTTGCCTCAATGGGTCTCTACGCAACCGGCGTGTCGACAGACCTCAACGGTAACTACCATCACGACATTCTCTCCCAGCTTCATTGTCTACCCTACTAAATAACTTGCCAGTAACGTACCTCAGCAGCGGCGGAAAAGTCGGCGACAAGATCCATGCCACAGCTACCTGTGACAAGAGTATGCAGATTCTTATCTCCAGTTAGTTGCACACGTAAAGACTGACAACAACATGCTGCCGGGGTTGGAACAGTCGGTAAGACGCTTGCTTACACTACTGTTACGTTCCGCAACCAAAAAGGCGAGCTTGCCGCCAGGGGTTCGCATACCAAGTGAGTGACTCTGTTTAGCACGGCAGGCCGACCCGACCCCATACCCCTGACACAGATGTCTCCGCAGATACGTCACACAGGCCTGGAGTGCAAGCCCGCCATATACACCTCCCGAAGGGGCTGTGATAGCCGACGAGGTAGACTGAAGGCATGCCGTCTCGGCTTGTACTAGTCTGTATTCTGCGTGTACGTCGAGGTAGTAGACCAGAGCATGGAAGATTGGTTGTGATATTCCGGATTGCCCCCGGCGTGGGCCACCAGTAGACGGCTTCTTGGTTCAGGCTGTCTCATCGTCGATCGGTGTACGGAGTACATGTGAATCATCCTGCTTTCCAGGTTGTTCCGAACACCACAGAGTTACGGTCACTGCAGAGCTGGTTCACTCAATCCGAGGACGGCGCTGTAGAGAGACACTAACATTACACCCCCACAGAGGTTTAGAGAAAGGAGGCTCGCGAACGCTAACGCTATCTGACAGTACTTCCCCAAATACTTCAATCAACGCCTTTGCTGTCCTTTTCCGTCAAGGCCCTCAATACCACACATGAACACAATCCGAGCGCCATGACTCCCTGCCATCCCAAGCCATCTGCACTTGATCTCACGAGGAGTCTCTGCCCGCACCCTCACCACCGCCAGCGCCACCTCCGGCGCGGCCACCAGCGCCGTCACTACCCGCACCACCATCACTGCCAGCAGTTCCAGAGTCAGCACCACCGGCAGCGCCCGCGCCCGGTCCGCCCCCGCTAACTTGAGGCTGATCCTTGATAGAGGCCACGGAGCACCCGTTCTTTGTCGTGAAGGTGACAGACGCGTCGAAGCGCGAGGACGCCTCCAACTTCAACGTGATGGCATCACCTTCCCACATGTCATGTAGCAAGTCCCAGGCCTCCAATGTGGCACCCTTGACCCTGTTGATATGAGGTCAGATTACAGAACGTTAAGTTACATGATCAGGATGGGAGGGGATTAGGGAATATACGTACCACGCCACATATGTCGGCACACCACCATCCAAACACATTCCGACGCCAGCTTGCAGGATGCTGTCCGGGTACGGCTGCCCTCCGTACACCTCGCGATCGATGCGCAACCATGCCGAGCCAATGGTCCCGGCTTTGCAGTGATGGCCGTTGCACTTTACGGGAGGAATGATGATGGTTCCCATGACAGATTTGGGTTGTCCGCGTCCAGTCATCAGACCGCCCGCCCAGTTCGTGAAGTCGTTTTGGGGACAGGTGCGGCTCGAGTCAAGGTCCAAATCGAAGCCGCCACAGGGAGGAAGACCGGGGCGGAGTTCCTTGTTCCCGTAAACTGGCTTGGGATTCCCGGGTACATAGACAGAGGGAGGCTCAGCATACGAGGGAGCAGGAGGAGCCTGGCCAGAAGGGTAGACAGATGGAGCCGGAGCAGGCGGGTACGAGGGCGCTTCAGCAGGTGGGTAGACCGGAGGTGCTTCGGCAGGTGGATAGCTTGGAGGTGGTTGAGCAGTTGGATAGGCCGGTGGTGGAGGAGCAGGTTTGTAGACTGGAGGTGCTTGACCTGGCTGACCCTGGTCAGGATAACCTTGGCCTGCAGACCCTTGACCAAGCGAAGATGCCGGAGGAGGATTGGCCAGAGGAGGATCGGCTGGGGAGGGATTGCCCGGGGGAGGAGGAACCTCGCCGGGGGGAATTGTGACAGGTGGATCAGCTGGAGGCGGAGACGGAGGCGTAGCTTGAGCTTCCGTGGGCAAAGCCTGGATAGCGGCGGCGCCGAGGACGGCGGTAAAGAGGGCGGCGGTAAACTTCATGATGAGGATATTGAGGAATGACTGCTTGAAAGAGTGTGCAAGATGCTGAGAATGGAGGCGATAATTAAGATTAAGATGGGCACCACAGCTCTGACTGCAGCACGTTGGGTGAAGGTTTGGAGTTCGGTTGTCAGGAAGAGAAGCGGGTATAAATATGCAGGACAAGACCCGTGGCTACGACGAGCGTGCTACTTCCTCCAGCGGTGTTCTCGTCTCGAGCCTGGTCGTCCATAGGGGAAGTCCAAGCCGCGTGCCAGACGTTGCTCTTTCCATGACTGCAGCGCAAACGAACGCGAGGTACCATTTCCGGGGGCAAAGGGCAAGAACCAGCCGCGAGCCTAGCCAGCCTTGAGCGCGTCTGATGGCAAGAGCCATCCTAAGATTCAGATAAGGTAGTGGGTGTTCCAGTGTGTTCACCAAAAGCCATCGAACCTGGAACCAAGGGTCTCGTCTGGATAGTCCGCCGGGAAAGAACACCCATACCTAGAGTAAGGCAGGTCGGGCATTGCGCTGGAAGATCAAGGAGCGAGTTCTATAGGTAAGGTAGGTAAGTACCGGACGGCAACCGACCTAACCTAACACAGCTTGCCTGGGGCTTTTCACCTCAGTACTCACAGCATTCTTTCGAGTTCAGGTGCTTTCGTGAAGTCGAAGGTGTACCTTCTGTTTGCTGCGGATTCAAGTCCATCCTGGCTGCACCTGGAGACATCACATCTCTGTGGCAGTCAGACCATTGAGAGCATCTCGACTACAGAACCAGCTACCGTACCTACCTTGATCAAATTCGCCTGGCTTTAGGAAAGACATCAAGGACAGGCTTCGCTCCTACTGAGGTACGCTCCAAGCAGCAACCATCGAGGTCTCATGAAAGACCACGGAAACGACTCTTTCGCCGGTGGCTCCAGCATGAAGTGAGTGAATCTCAATGGCATTGCAATCGCATACAGTCATTACAGTACAACACCCCTATTCCCGTGGCAGTGGCAATACGCCCCAATCACCAAATCCAATCCAGAAGCCACCAAACCCAGACCTCTCAGGATTCAAGACTGACCTTCACCCTTGGCAGCAGCCTGCGCCATTCCCATTCGCATTCCCATTCCCATTCGCATTCCCGCCAGCATCAGAAAACGCCAACCTACTAACCGCGTCGACAACACCTCTCACCCCGCCTTCGCCCCTGAGCAGCTGGCTCGGCGTGCTCGCGTAGGAAGGAGGGACGTCCATGACGGGATTGCCGGCGAAAAAGTTGCGCGGCCGCAGCAGCAGCGTCATGGGCTCGGCCGGCATGACAGGGAAATCCTCGGGGGATGGGAAGTGGGTGACGCCAAAGGTGTGCCAGAGCACCACGTCCGTGTTGTCGATGCTCTCGCTGCCGTCGCCAATCCATTCGGCCAGCCCCACGGGCTTGTCGCCCGAGGTCTGCGGCACGTGCCGTCCGGCTGGGTATAACTGGTCGTCTTTGTCTGTGGTGTGTGCGGGTGCGGGTTAGTGTGGGGGTGGGCTTGATGGGTGGGGAGTTGGCAAGGGAAAAGGGGGAAGGGGGGCGCTTACACCTGGTTACGTGCACAGCATGGCGGGCAAAGGGAGCGCGCTTCCATACGAGTGAGTTCGGTTTGGGTAGAAGGCCAGGAGCCTCTCTGCTAACGAGTTTGTAGCTGACGGGTTTTTTGCTGAAGGGGTTCAGCTTGTTAGTGTTAGCGATCTCCCACGTCCGAGACGTAGCGCCGTTGTAATCGGTCATGGCCTCGCCCGTCGTCGACAGCTTGGTGCGCTTGTTGTAGAAGGCGTTACCGTAAAAGTTTTCGGGGCTGCCCACAGGCGCGTCGCTCGGCACGGCGTCAGACATGAAGACGGTGTTGTTGGGTCCGTCGACGTTGGCATCGATGCGCAGGCAAAAGAGATGCTGGTGGTTGTGGGCATTCACGCCAGGGTACACCTGGGTGCCCCATCCGTGTGTGTCCTCCTCCGGGTCCATGGCGTATGTGTTGAGGATGCCCGTCAGCTTGATCTCGGGCTGGATGGTGCCGTCCTGGTGGAAGACCCACGCAACCACGTACTCATAGTTGGCCGCCGTGAAGATCTGCTGGATGATGAGCTTGCGCCCGCGTGTCACGATGACGGAGTCGTCGCGGAAGTCGCTGTGCTTGAAGAGGATACCCGCGTCCTCCTCGTGGATACAGATGGCATTCTTGATGGTTCGCACGCCACCGGCCCGCGTGGGGAAGTGAGCGTCGAGGTAGTGAATCGAGCCCTTGCAGTCGCAGCCAAGCGAGAGACTATTGGCCATGTAGCCGGCACCGTACTCTCCCTGGTCAAGGGCATGTTTGCGGTGGTGAGGGTGCTCGGGGTTGCCACTGTGGTTTGCTGTCAGTTACGCTCGGTGCTGAGGGTGGTCAGGAGTCGACTTACTAAGGCACCACCATCTCAGCCAGGGACAGTCTGTAGAAGATGGGCCGCACGGTTCCCTTGTCGTTGAAGGTGATGTTGTTGAGCACGATCCCTTCTCGGTAGTTGAACCCGATGTGGAACTTCCAGTTCTGCCACTCAAGCTCTCTCCCGGTGATTTTGAAGGACACACCCTCGGGCTGCGTGATGTTGATGGGTTTCAGGTTGGTCCGATATCCGCCCCTTTTCTCCACTGCCGCTGGGTGGTAGTCCAAGGGCGCCGCCTTGCTCAGGGGGCGGCGTACCTTGGGGATGTCGATGGCAATGATCTCCCCCTTGTCTGCATCATAGATGGGGCAGAAGTCGAGCGGGTATGTGTATTGGCAATTGTCGATTTCCGGTCGGTAGTACATCAAAGCTTGCTGAAGCCGAACCGAGCTGCCAAACCTCTCGTCGTACCCAATGGTCCACGGGTCACAGTACACCTTATCCATGTCCTCAGGAGCGATGCCGCTGATTATGCATTGCTCGATGACCTTGGGGTCTTTGCGGACAATGTGTTCGACCAACTGGAGCTCTTCCATGGTGATCTAGAATGAATACGGTCAGCACGCTTCCATAACTCCCGTCTTCATTGAGCTCCGCGTACAATCGGCTGTTCCCCGTCAAGAAGCTCCCATTTTGTGATGGTGACCGTTTCCAAGTCCACGAGCCCGTCATACACCTTCCCGCCCGGGGCAATAACCACGACGTCAGCGACACGCTTTGGCCGAGGCGCCGCATCTGCGTCCGCGAGCCATGCAGTCATCTCAGCCTTCCGCGGCTCGTGCAGGGTAACGACATTGAAGAAGACCTGGCCATGGGTCTTTTTGACAGTCGTAATCGCTACCTCGATCTCGGATAGCGTCAGAGGATCCAGGGGATAGGGGCGATCGGCCACGACAGAACCCATGGTTGGTGCCTGTGGTCTGAAAGAGGAAGGTTGGTCAGTAAATAGGGGGTTCTTTTACGAAGAGAGGAAGAGGGCCTGGTGATATCCTGTCGGTTTGGCCGCGGCGGGGATGAGGAGCGCCCTTTTACTGTCGTGCAAATGTCCTAGCACATTGAATGGTGATGAGAACTTCATCAATATTTATATCTCAGGCACGATGCTCTTCGCCCATGGACTGACATGTTCGAGAGAAACATCCTGTTCCTCATGACTGACCACCTGCGCGTAACACTGATAAGCAGCTCGATAACTCAGTTACCAATCGGATGCGATCATGCATATGGTCTGTAGGTCTAGAGCTGTCGAGGGGCCGAAGGCTTCACCCCGCCGATGCAAGCATGCACAAGCATGCCAGCCGTCATTGGCGATAAGAGCGCTTATCAACCCCTTCTGCCCGTCAGGGCGTTGACAAACAAAAGCCCACTTCGATGGAACCAGCCAACTGGCGCTGCTCGGAGTCTCCTCCGAACACGGAACGGCGGTCCTCGGAGTGGGATGCCGAGTCTTGCTCCCGATACTAAGGATTCAGGAATCAAAACTGAGGGGTACACGTCCCTTTCGCTCTTTTCCGTTCTCCGAGATGCCGACATCAACCCGGCCCTCGTCTCGCATCGAATTGCCAGTTCGGTGAATGGGTTGAAGTGGGCTCTCCCTTTTTTTTCCCGTTTAAGGCAATCAAGGGCCACTGTTCTGTTCCTGCCGCATCCAGGTCTGTTGCGGAGCGGCGAACTGTATGCAATTGTATCATCTGTATATTTGCAACACCAGACCACGTTAACAAGCTCGTTGATAAATGGTTTACTTTTTGGTCAATCAACAACCACGCAGCCCATTTATTAGCATCGGCCAGCTGTGTGAGACTCAAGGGTGCTGGGGGTTTCCTTTGGTCTGCCTTATCAGCTCGCAGATAAGGATTGGGGAATTAGGTATCCGTAAAGGTCACTTCAGGGGATCATTCGCAGTGTCTTCTCGACTATAAGGTAGGAGACACATACCTTCTGTCCTTCTGGTAGCCCAAGTCTCAGCTTTGCTCAGCTTTCATTTTATGTATCGAGTGCCTAGGGGTGTTCGCTGGGAGATGGTACGCAGGCTCACCAGGCAATCGCTGGCCGGTAGGTACGAAGTACAGTAACTGAGTCCCAAATCCACCATACATTCCATGGGTACCTTATGCAATGGCCCTGGATCCAGAGATGGGCAATCACAGCGTTAGTACAAACAATGGCTGCTCTCAAAGGAACTGCCAGTTGGTGTCCCACACGCTGCTCGAAGGCTGCGTCGAAGGCTCAGAAAGATGGACGAGGCCTTCTCCGTGTCTGTCTCACGGGCACAGGCTTACAGCTTCCAAGCCGTGGAGGTTCCTTCGAAGTTCGCACTCAGCACACAGCCCAGTTGGACCCCGCATCTGATGCAAGTTGAAATGGGCGATAGCGAATGAGATGGGGTAAGAGCATGGCGGAACAGGGTAGCCCTGCAGAACATCAGGTGGCTCCACCGCATCTGGTGGCGCAGCGCCCCAAAGCGCCCCAACCCTACGTCGCTAAACGACTCCGCCAAATTTAGGTTGTGAAAGAGCCCCTTTCCCGAAAAATCGGGTCACTGTCGCATCGAGAATCGACGCGTCGTACGGAGTATGTGGAGATCGTCCTTTCCTGGCTGGTTGGGCGTCAATTCAACTGACCTTCGACCTCGACAAGGCAATCACTATGCTGACTAGTTGTGGATTTGATTTTCTGTATGAATTTCGGTCACCATACGCTTATCCTCGGAGCGAACCTTGGAAACTGTGGAGGGGACATCTTGACCGTTGCGGCTTATCCTAGTTAGCTTGCAAATCTGGCACAGTAGATTGCGATGTCAGCAACATCGAAGCCAGGCGACAATGCAGGGTGGTAAGCCATAATACCTATGTACAGTACACGAATGAACTGGCGAGGGACTCTCACCCACGCGGGGACGAGGCTGGCTGTGTGCGTCGCGACCAGTCGCCAGATGCAAAAATTCTTGGCCTGTGTTACGGTGCGATATTCGACCGCTCTTACCCTTGGTTAGGCTTGGACTGCTCAACCCCCCTGGTAACCTTAAATTACCTGGCTGCCATCCTCTGCGTGAACATCTGGGTTAGCGAACTTGTCTGTCTGACAATGCTCAAAATTTTGTATGAGCCTCAATTTCTCAACTTCACTTCTCTTGGTTGATCTTGCTTTTACTCCCCAATAACTCCCGTCTGTTTACATTTCAACCCCCTGACTGGCTCTCCAAGACACGCGGACACGCCAACTGAAAGGCCTGGTCATGAGCTCCTACTTTGGCGAATATGGCGTCTACTCCGTCGCCGCCCTTGTTCTCGCGGGGCTCTGGGTCAAGCCGCTGGGTATCTTGTGGCTCATCAGTCTATGTCTAGCGCGCAGAAAGGGTGATCCAGCTCGAGTAGGTGTCACTTGGATTAAAGTGGTGTATCCATTCTGGATTATGTGAGACAACCCATCCCGCCAGCCTCCTTCCGTGACGAGCCGACACTGACTGTTCCATCAGAGCATCGATTGGTTATGTTGTCGTATTCGGGTTGAGGATCTGGTACTACATTTACCTCGACAACGACACGTTTACCTCGAATTACATCTACTACGTCCGGCAAGCTGAGGACCACATAGCCGTGACGGCCGAGTTATTCACTGGTCTCGCCGACATCTTCCTGTTTATATCCTTCGTCGAACTCTCAAACGGCTTTCTGCTCTGTTTGAGCAACGGTGCCCAATTCATGCCAAGGCGCAAACAACTCCGCTACGTTATCCTGGGATGGGGGTTTGTTCTTTTTGCCCTGGTACTTTCAACCTTTGCATTGGGTCATTCAGTCACCGCACGGAGTTACGACATGCAAAGATCCTCAAGATCAAACGTGAACGAAGCACAGTTGCTGCTGGACCTGCTGCACGGTATCCGCCTGGACGGCGCCTGTCGCATCCTCTTCTGGATCACATCCTTAGGAATGGTTGCCCTTGCCTCGCAGGCCGTTCACAAACTCAGGGAAAACCCAGCCCTCCGCAAAGTAAGCGCCCTCCCTGAGCATTAAGCCATGCCGCTGCTTTCCTGCTTGTCTCGGCCCGCTGACCAAACTCCCCGCAGACCGCCGTCCTGCTCCTTGTAGCCACCATTCTCGACTCCGTTCGTCTCCTTGTTCGCATGGCTATCTATGCCCACAACACGCTTCAGAATCCCGAGCGCTATATTTTCCGCGGCAGCATGGCCCCTATAGAAGCCCTTTTGATCGTCGATCCCCTTTTCAACTATCTGTTCATGTTTATCCTACTCGTGCTGCTCTTCACCCTCGGCGCGCGCAAGCAGGGGGGCCTCTGGTCGCAGGCGCAGCAAGGGTGGGGGATGCCCACGGGCTTCGTCACCACCGCTCCGGCCTCAGGACCGCCCATGGTTCCCATCACGAGCTCGAGCAACGGTCTGCCCGCCTACCTGGCTGTCGCCCAGCAGAAGCAGCAGCAGGATATGGCATGGCAACAGCAGCAACACCAGCAGCAGGATATGGCGTGGCAACAGCAACAGCAGTACCGGCAGCAGCAGCAGCAGCAGCAGTACCCTCAAAATCAGCAGCAGCAGTACCCTCAGGGGCAATACTATTACCCGCCCCAACAACAACAGCAGTTTTCCAACCCTGAGTCGGGAATGGTGGCGAATGGCTTCCAGGCGCCCAGCCCCCCGGTCGAGGGATATGGGCAGAAATAGGAGGTTTCTGCTATAGAGCAAGGAGGGATTAAGTAACATTTGCGAGCTGAATTAATGAGGTGTGAGCGACTTGGCCTGCTTTTTCTCTTATAGTTTTCTGGATATATACAGGGCGGATACCACTTGGTTTTCTTGTTATGTTATGTGTTGTTGGTTCTCTTGATATACAAAGGGAGGATACCACTTAGTTTTCTTGATATGCTATGTGCTGGTCTCCTGTACCAGAACGCTCACCTTTTCCGGTTTCTTGTTCCACCAGCATGCATAACAGTGCCTGCAGTGAGTTGAAAGTGAACGTCGGATACCAGGCACTCAAGCCGGTGCACAATTACCCTGCGTACTGTTCGGAACGGCATCATGCCTACGGTACATCGTTGTGTGCAATATTGCCAGCTAGTTACCAATATGGAATTGTGGATAGGATAAGTGCCGGCCGTCAGGAAAGGGATGATAAAACATCAGGACTGGATCGAGCGAGCTATTGTGCCAGGTCTTACAAGGTTTGGCAATAATCCTCCGAGCGCTCACTGAACTGGGAAGAGGGGGATTGGGATGAGTCTCTCAGCTGTTAGAAGTGGTGCGTGTAATCGCTATGTTGCGCGGCATCGGGAGCCTTCGTTTACCGATAGGGGCGAGTGCAATTCTTAAGCAGTTCTCAGGACATGGAGGCAAAGTATTACTTCAAGAGGAGCCCATCAACAACTTGCTTTCTAAATCGAAATGGTGGCAGAGCTGGTACGTTATCAAAAGCAAAAGAAGCATCGCTACATTACAGAGCTATGTACGTTTTTAAGGCGATACAGAATATAAAAGAGGGGACAAACCTGCCCTAAGACAGCCAGTCTTAAGGCTTCCACCGGAAGTCGGGATGCCTCCAATCGAGGTCCTGAATCTCCTGCAGGGACATGCCCGCGAGCTCCTCCTCTGCATTGCGGCGCTCACGCACCTTATTATCCCGCTTCATCCAAAACAGTGTAGCTGTAGCAATGATCAATGTGGCAGCAGTAGCAGCCAAGTTGAGACCGTTGCCGATAGGATATCTGGGCCCATCCCAGGGAAGGTAACTCCATGTAGCGATGAGGCCGCCTAAGTTGCCGCACATGACTGTTTATGGTCGTTAGCACAACACGAACTTCAACCACCAAGCCACTTATTGAGCGAGAGAGAAAGACTCACCATTCAGACCGATGGCGCTGCTGCGTGCTGTATCCGAGACAACATTGGCGCTGACTTGGGAATTGCTCAGGGGCCCGACGGCGAACAGGGAGCTGGACAGGAGGAAGGTGGCGGCATAGCGTGGCGAAGCGTCCAGAGTACCCAAGAAAATGGCGTAACCGACGATGACCAGCGGGGCACACAGAATCAGGAAGATCTGGCGGCGGTCGAAACGCCAGCTGAGCAACGGGATGAAAAGGGTAAAAAAAGCGCCGACGGCATAGGGTGGGACGGTCAGGAGCTGCTGCATGACGGTGGTCTGGGTTGGATAGATGGTGCGGACAATGGTAGGAGCGAAGAACGCCAGGCCCTGGACGGTAATATTGTTTAGCAGGAAACAAGCGGCCGTCGACAGCGTGACAGGGCTGAGAATGCCCTGGAGGAGCTTCTTCTTGTCCATACGATCGAGCACCTCGGTGGTGGCGACACGCTCAGATCTGATGCGGGCGGCGGCAAGTTCGCGCTCCTCGCGACTGAGCCACCTTGCTGTCTCGGGCCGGTCGGTGAGCGTGAAGAAGCTGGGGAGAGCCCGGGGGTTAGCACACGTCCGTAATCAGGAGTGGTCCTGCCGGAACTCGACCTACCTGATGATTGCTAATCCGCAAGTGACAATGCCTTCAATGGCAAAGATCATGCGCCAACTAGTGAGGCTTCCAAAATGTGGCAACGTAAGAATTGCCGAGGCCAGGAGGCCTCCAAAAGCGCCGGCTAAGGGCGCCATGACAATGTAAAGCGACAGGCGGAAGGTAAGCTCCGCGCGTCGATACCATCGAGACAAGTAGTAGGCAATACCGGGTAGCATCCCAGCCTCGAACACACCGAGAAGGAATCGGACACCTGCAGCTTGAGAGAAGTTTTGGACAAAAGCCGTGGCGATAGAGATGGCTCCAAAGCAGAGTGAAATGCCGGGGATGAACCAGCCGGGCCCAATCCACTTGCACATGACGTTTGACGGGATCTCGAACAGGACGTAGGAAATGTAGAAGACGGAGAGGAGGGCATTGTAGTCGTAGCCCTTCAACCCCAGATCGTTCTCAAGGCCGGCAATCCTGGCGTTTCCTGTGAGAGTGTTAGGGGTGAGCGCATGCTGGGGTCAAGTCGATGTTCTCATACCAATATTTGCTCTGTCAATGAAGCAGAACAAGTAGAGTAGCGAGACGGTCGGCACAATCATGAAATCGAGCTTCATGCGGAGCCTCGCCTCGGCCTTGGGATCGAGGACGACCGTGGACTCGCCGAATCTAACTCGGTCAGCATCTGTATATGGCGGTCCCTGGTGGCTGATCATGGACAATCTCACTTCTCAGGGGCCGCATGGTTTGGGGCGCCATTGGAAATCTCTGTGTGGCTCGTTGCGGCCTTGTTAGAGTCGTCCAACGAAGCGGCTGCCATTTTGCGCTTGGTCACTAGAGATGGCCGAGATGGGTATTGTTCGGTCGGGGCGGCCAGGCGTTCAGTCCGACACGATACTCGTCGCGGATACACGAGGGGATGGGCGCTCGAAGCGACTTTTATCCTTCTTTTATCGCCGGACTACAAATACCCCTGTCGTAACAAGCTCGGTGTGTGCTAAAACCTCACCATGTGGCCCATCCCTGTTGAGCCCACCTATCCCCGGTCTGGATTCGTCAGGAAGCCCGTGGGGAGTCGGCCAGAAATGCCAAGATCACGGCCAAGCACCGCAGCTAGGAACCGGGTTTGGGTCTGACGAACCCGGCAGGAAACATCGGCAACGGGAGAGGCCAACGGGAGGAGCGACGGGAGACTGCAGGTGGGGAAACGATGAGTCCCCTGCGATGATTTTGTGCGAGCCAATGAGACTGGAAAAAACCACGTTGACACTAGAGACACCACTTCCACGTTCCTGCGAATCTTCTTCTCCTGCTCCCGGTTTCATAAAAAGGACCGACATCTGTCAAGCGTGATGTAATGTGTATCCTGCTGTTCTGTCCAGGAGGCCTGTCGCGATCAAGTTGACATGCTGCGCTCACTTTCGTGACGACTTGCCACCTCTGCAGCGGCTTGACTGCCCGTAGGAGGATAGCGTACAGCGGACAACGCGCAGGGTGGGTGTTCTGGGTGTCAGCCAACCCCTTCCCCGTGGGGAGAAGCCAGTAAGCTTGGTGGAGATGGGGTTTTAGTGCGGTTGCGGATCCATTCTCCCCCCACCTTCCGTCTCCATTTTCATGCCAGAACCGAGCCAAACTCCTGGTTGTTGAGCCCACACGACTTTGGAAACCCCATCATTCAGCTCAATAGTCTCCTCCTCCTCAGTGGAGAGAGCTGGAGCAAAACCCCGCATTTTGAGGGTGACACTTCTCCAAGAGTCCGTTCAACAGTGAGGTATGTATCTGTAGGTAAGTCAGTTTAGAATGCCTCGGAGCATGTAGGGCTTTTCGGTTGGTCGCCAAGCATCCAAAATCTGCATTGCGCCGCAGTCATATTGGACCCGCATCCCCGGGCCTGCCAAGGAGGGCCTCGGCGTCCCGATCCGGCATTCCAGGTTGCGCCGGGCATTGCGCCGCAAACCCCTCTCAGACGCGGTACGGAGAAATACTACAGTCATTATAAAAAGAGAACCGCGCTATACCTGTTACATTGTATTCACCAGGCAAATAATGCGCTACCTTCTTGACCTGCTACTGGGCCCAGAGCTGTCGTGACAGATGCGCATGAGTTGATATCCCGTAGGCTGGTCAAATTTAGCTTCCCCTCAGCCGAGGTACCATACGACGAAAACTCTAGCGATGCCAAGTCTTCGGGGACGCGGGCAGGCCACACTCAGAGCTTCAACACTTCTTAGCTCCCCCGCTTCTCTGGCTGTTTGTCATGCAGTCTTGCCGACGGGATGACTGCCGTCACACCTTGGCACGTGCTTGGGCATTGAGTACCGTGTCTATGGGACTCTAGCCCTGTTCTAGACTTACAAGGATGGCACCTCTTGTTGGACCCATTTTCATCATAATTCACACCCGGCAGCCACTGAATATTCCCTAGGTCAGGCATCTCAGAAACGTGCTAGGTAAGCATCCGCCTCTCAAGGCTCGTTGATTCGCTACGGAATTGGTTTGTTCGTCTTGATTTGAATCTCTGGAACCCTAGCGGGTCTGCGGACCCATCATCAATCTCGGCGCGGGGGCAAAGGGAGAGGTCTACGCAGGCGACCGAGGATCGGTAAGTGAGGCCATGCAGTCATTTGACGATACAAGAAGCATTCTAGGTCGCCCGTTACATACGAATAATGCATCCTAGTGCCCGTAATAAAGAGCCCACGGAGATCTTTACCGATCGTCCGGTGCTGTAATGGAGTGCCTATAAATTGGAGACCAGACAAGCAGGTGGCTTTCCTAGAGCTTCACATGAAAGCCGAGAGATACTCTGGCTTCCGTCAGGTATCAAACGGACACGTATGTCTGAGAAGTCGAAGCAGCCTAGCGCCTTGTCGAAGAGGCCACGTCGAGAGCCGCGTAATGCGCGGAAATTTCAAATGGGACAAGGAGAACTCAGTCGAGAGGCAAACTCAAGACACAAAAGAGATCACAGTAAATGGCACCTTTGGAAGTTCTTCAAGTTTCCCTCTATAGGAGAAACCGTTTGCACTTGGAAGTTCTCATACACCTCAGGGACCGCAGATGTATACTTGTACAGAAAAGTGGAGACCGCAGCTGGTCCTTACCCCGCATTACGTCGTTGCTTGGCATGGCTTGGTGGGGTAACGTCAGTCTGGAACCGCGATAGTTCGTAGCGTCATAGGATCCCTATCTGAGCCTATTTACCAGTAGGTAGTTCATGTTGGGCTTTGATGGTGGGAAATCTGCATCGGGAAATAGATACTTATCTTGGGTCTTGTATCTGCAACTGCAACAATTGAAAGGCCCCAGAGAAAGGAGCTGCCTGAGCTTCGTGATCGTCGACGCTGTTTGAGCGTTTGACGCCGATAAGCGGTAAGTGGGGCTCTCTGATCTGCATTCGGTCATTCAGTGACCCTCTCTCCTCAACTGACCTCAGCCGGACTGTCCGCATGCCGCGCCTGGCGAGGCTGCTTTGGTTAGGTAGCCACTGATGAATCTGGAGGTTCTCAGTCATCCTCTCTTAAACCTGCCCTGGACATTCCAACAGTCCAACTTCTGAGGGCAACCTTTATTTGCCCTTGTTTGTCGATTTCGTGCACCGTTTCTCCGCCGCCAAATTACCCTAGTTTTTGATTCCAATCCCGCAGAATTGTATCGGCGTCGGAGTCGGAACCATGTTCGACATCTTTGCCAAGCTTCTCTCGTGCGTCACGCTTCCCTCAATTCCCGAGACCCACGAACTGACCGCAACAGCTCTGTCGCGTCATTCCTGTTCCCACTCTTCGCCAGCTACAAGGCTCTCAAGACATCAGACCCGGCCCAGCTAACGCCATGGCTGATGTACTGGGTTGTCCTGGCCTGCGCGCTCCTCATTGAGTCGTGGTTAGACTGGTTTCTTGTCTGGTGAGTGTCATTGACTCTCCGGAACCCGTCTTCCTTCCTCCATTTGCTCACCACGGTCGGCACTGCCCCCAACAGGATCCCCTTCTACGCGTATATCCGCCTGCTCTTCCTTCTCTACCTCGTATTCCCCCAAACCCAAGGCGCTCGCCTCATCTACGAAAAGTACATCCACCCGAAACTCGAGGAGAACGAATCGGCCATAGAAGAGTTCATCGCCTCAGCCCATGAGCGCCTGCGCAGAGCGGGAATAGACTACATCAAGCGCGCCATCGAGGTCGTCAAGACCAGCGTCCTCGGCCTGCCCCCAACACCGGAAGCCGCCGCCTCCCCGCCCGAGCCGCAAACTGCGCAGTCGTACACCCAAGCCCTCCTCGCGCGCTTCACCCTCCCCTCGGCACGATGGACCGCAACCACCTCGGGCACCGGCCCTTCCACTGGCGCTCCATCGTCCACCGCGGCGGCTGATTTCTACAACCTCCTCGCCTCGGCCGTCTCAAGTGCCATGTCCGCAGCCACCACCGGCAGCGGTAGTGCAAGTGGCGCCCCCCCCGGTGGTGGTGGTGGTGCTGCTGCTGTAAGCGCCGTCCCCTCGGCGCTGAGCATGCTCATTCCGGAGTCGATCCGCTCCGCCTCGGCGGCGGCCCGCGTCTCCTTCATCCAGGCCCAGCGGGAGCGCCTGAGAATAGTACTGTCCGCCCTGGACAGGGAGGAGGCGGCGGCGGCTGCTGGTCAGGATCTGGGTGCGCAGGAGCTGCGGGAGAAGGAGAAGCCTGGGTCTATGGGTAGTATCAGCGTCGTCAGTGACAATGGTGCTGGCGGGGCAAGTAGTCGGCGGTCGCTGAGCGAGCAAAGCATTGCCAGCGGGCTGAGCAAGAGTCGGTCCGAGGCGGATTTTGAAAAGTTGGAGGCCGAGAGCGGCGAGGAGATGGATATGCAGGGCCTTGATACCCCCAGTGGTGGTGGAGGGGCTAGGAGACGGGTTGCGGGGCAGGACGACGAGGCCAGAGGCGGAGGGTGGCTCCCCTGGGGTTGGGGGACTGGTGGTGGGGATGCCGGGAGGAGTTCGGGGTTGGAGAAGTAGGGGAAACCAAGGCCGCTTGCTATTTCAGTCCGGGGGTTTTGGTATCTAGGGACTGGCGTAAGTTGTTAGATCTCTTGACGGGTATGGGTAGGTACGGTACCGGCGTTGTTTTGTGCCTAGGCTGCCCTGCAGAGCTGATTTAAAGGTCATGGTAAGATGCGCTCGGCAACCATCGGTAGAAGTAGGTATGGTCCTTTGTGCATTGATATGGTACAATATGATACAGTGGCAAGCCGATATACCCAGTTCTATATGCGTTCCCGCAGGGGAAAACCGTCTTACCCCTCAGTCCGCCTTCTACCGTCCGCTCCCATACTTGGTTACCGACATCGCCCGCAGAATTTTATACTCTGGCACCCGTCGACCTGACCGCTTGATATGGATACGCTGGATCACTGTCCTTGCGCACCCATATCTGCCGCCGCTTCTTGGTCGCGACATGCTCGACCCATATTTCGTGGCAGTGCGCCTTCTTGAAGGCGCGGATGAACCGCGGGTCCCACAGCTCAGAGGCTATGCCCAGGTCTTTGCAGCACCGCAGCAATGCGTTCGACTTGCACCCTTCACCTGCCGTAGGGATCGTCTCCTCGGAAAAGTACTGGCATTCGCCGCGGGCTTGGGCGATGAAGCTGTTGAGAGCTTAGTATTAGCATCAAAAGCTGACCGCAAAGGTCAAATCAAGTGGTTGAGCTCTTCCGTACCGTCCATGCACCACCAATGCGTACTCCCTCGTCACCACCTTCTCGCCGACTATCAGCTCTCCCCGCGGCGCCAGGCCCCAACCGCCAGGCCCAAACGCCTTGTTCAGGATCCGCCGGTATTTGATCTCGGGCAGGTAGATGATCCCGTCGGGCTTGATTTCGATGTCGATCGGGTCCAGCGCCTGCATCAGCACGGCCGCCGTCTCGGGGCTAAACGGCGTGGTCGAGAGCCCATGGAAGGACGAGGACCAGTCAATGGCCTGACCGTTCGGTCCGGTCCCGTTGCCATTACCATTGCCGTTGCCGCTGCCGCTACCGCTTAGCGCGGCGGCAAATGCTGGGGACAGCGGGGTGCCGCTGCTGCTGCTGTCACTTGTGGGTATCTCAGCGGCGAGGGTCGGGTCGACGTCGGCGACGGTAGAGGCTTCCGGGATGGCTGCTTGAGGGTCGATCACGCCATGATTCGCGTTTTTGGAGGCTGGCGCGACACGGGCGGCAGGGGCTGGGGGTATTGTTGAAGAGCGCGGCAGAGCGGGCTTGGGCTTCGATGAAATGGATGCTCTTTGCGAAGCGGCGATGGCTATGTTTTTTGACAAAGGCTTAGAGGCTCGAGACTGTCGTAGACATGACGCTACTAATCGCGCAGAGCGATATGCTTGAAAGGCAGGCGGTCCCATGTTGTCTGGCTGCTGGGGGTGGTTGCCGTGGATGGTGACAGCCTGCAGGTGGTGGATGATGCAGTGATGTTAAAGGAAATCCTCAGTTCCTTGGCTGACCGCGAAGACGGGAGCTTGGGCTTCTCGGCGCGAGCAGGGGTGCATAGGCGCTCAACCGCCACTGTAGGTAATCACTGATGGCCTCGCTGACAGCATTGGACCAAAAGATGCTTGAAAATCATCACCACAATGGTACGTTATATGCATAATGAATTCGTGGAAGTAACTTCCAGGTTCTCTTCACTTTGGCCGGTACGGGGCTTGTGGATTTGTACTCGAATTGCGCAGCGTTTAAGGAAGCGTTGCTAACAGCGATGGTTACGCATTTTTTGTATCCGTCCTCGTATCATTACCCTTCAATTTCCAGCACTGCCTGAATCTTTCCATCTGTTCGCTTTGCTGTGAGCCTGGCTTGTCCGTCGAAACCAAAGGTCTTGGGGCCGACATACCTCGTCTTTGCAGGCTCTCCAGTCCTTCTTCTCGTAGTAGCAGTCAGTCAATTTCGCATTCTCGTCTGCCATGGATTTCCAACATCAATCAGTAAGTGGGTGGTTCCGCTGCGTGCCAACGACATCGCCGGCAATATCCGCTCGGAGTTGAGCTTTTGCTGTGAGGGAATCTCGATTTCTCCAACAGCCCGAAAAACACGTTGAGAACTCCGGGATCCAGCCTCTTTCGATCGTGCATGTGTCGGCGAAACGTACCTGCGCAGCCAGTGCTAAAGATGCGCTTGTCCCTGCAGAATTGCCGCATCCAGTGAGCAGCAAGAACTTCTTTGATTTGCCGGGGACATGATTGGAGAAACGCCCCGGATCGCAAACTCACCACTCATCTGGTTCATCGTCGGCGGGCTGGACAGCAGGCGACGGCTGCTCTTCCTTCGGTTGTCCGGCTGCTTTCGGTGTTGATCCCATGGTTGCGCGATTAAAAGCACAAGATTCGAGTCACGTTAGGTGATCCAGAAGATTTGTTGGGGAGGTCTTAGAGGAGATCAAATCCTCAAAATCACGCCAAAAGGCCTTCATCTTTTTTTCACACGCGAGGCCCGGATCATCATCTACACCCGACACTTGAAATGGCACCCCGAAAACTCAACGTTTTGGTCTATACAGGTCTGACTAACACTCTCTTGCCGCTTGATATTGCTGTTAGGGTTTCAGAACTGACCGGCTACAGGGACGGGATCGACCGTCGAGGCCGTCCGGCACTGTGTCTACTCGCTTCGCCGACTGTTGTCCCCTAATTATGCCGTGATTCCCATTTCTGAGTCGGCACTCCTCAAGGAGCCTTGGGCTCCCACATGCGCTCTCCTCGTGTTTCCCGGAGGCGCCGATCTTGGATACTGCCGTGTCCTGAACGGCGCTGGCAACCAGACCATCACCCAGTTCGTCCGTCGCGGGGGAGCCTACCTGGGCTTCTGTGCAGGCGGCTATTATGCCAGCCGACGCTGCGAGTTTGAGGTAGGCAATCGCGAATTGGAAGTCATTGGGAACCGTGAATTGGCCTTCTTCCCTGGAACATGCCGCGGCGGCGCATTCAAGGGGTTCGCCTACCACAGTGAGCGTGGTGCCAAAGCCGCCAAGATTCTTGTGAGACAAGACGCATTTCCGGAGTCCGATGCGCTGCCCAATGTCTTCAAATGCTACTACAACGGCGGCGGAGTGTTTGCCGATGCGGATACTGTCGGCAAAGACTCTAATGCTGTGGAGGTGCTTGCCGAGTATGCAGACGAACTTGCAGTGGAATCTGGGGATTGCAAAGCCGCCGTCGTGTACTGCAAGGTTGGCCAAGGGGGCGCCATTGTCGCCGGTCCGCATCCTGAGTAAGTTCTGTCGGCGTTCGGTTCCCAGCAGTATCTGATTGTAGATAGGTTCGACCCGGTCCTTCTTAGCCAGCAGCCGGACATCCCAGGGTACAATGTCCTTCTCGATGAGCTTGTGGCGGATGAGGATGCTAGGCTCGCCTTCTTGAAGGCGTGTCTGACCAAACTTGGCCTAGAAGTTAGTCAAGGAACATCGGTCGCGCCCAGTCTCTCCAAACTCCACCTTACTTCCCTCCATCACACCGAGGTCGGTGAGATGCTGTACTCTTTTGACGACATAATAACGAAAGTAGACGGTGAAGAGTATATCAAAGGAGACAATGACTTGTTCCATCTCGAGAAACCAGATTCGAGGTGGTCATTGGCGTCTCTAAGCCAAGCGCTCTCAAATGAGCTCGGGGTATCCAAGACAAACAATGGTCGCGCATCGCCCGACCCTACAGCGGACTACAACAGGATTCCAAAGCGGATTGTATCCCATGAAAGCGCATGGCCGGAGCCAAAGGAGACGCCATGTTTCAACCACGCGATCTACTACTCAAGTCTCCAGGAGTTCAGACTCGCAGAGCGCGAAGCGGAAGGCTGGGGTGACGTTCTGATGTACGGCGAAGTCGTCACCAGCACAAACACCCTGCTTGAGAAGTGAGAGACCATTCCCCCGGTGAGAGCTTCATAAACTAACACTGCATGCCAGGAACTATAGCCTACTCTCAAGACTTCCCTCCGGGTTTACACTTGCTGCGACAACTCAAGTAGCGGGCCGAGGCCGGGGTTCCAATGTCTGGGTCACACCTCCTGGGAGCTTGGTCATGTCGACCGTCATTAACCATCCAGCCCACTATGCGGCTTCCCGACCGATTGTCTTTATCCAGTACCTCGCCGCTGTTGCCATTGTCGAGGCAATTAAAAGCTATGGCCCTGGCTACTCAGAGCTGCCAGTCAAGCTCAAGTGGCCCAACGACATCTACGCTAGAGACCCAAGCAAGCCAGATGAGATATCCTACGTGAAAATCGGAGGGATTCTGTCAAACTGCGCCTACTCGTCGGGGAATTACCAGATTGTCTTGGGAATAGGCATCAACACAAACAATCGCCGACCGACCACTAGTCTTGATGCTCTCTTGCCGCTGGTAGGGAGTGGGAAACAGCTAGCCCCGTTTCATATTGAGCGGCTACTCGCCCGGATTCTAACCCGTCTGGAAGTCCTGTACAAAAATTTCTGCCGCAACGGGTTCTCGAAAGAGCTAGAGGAGAGGTACTACCGGCATTGGCTGCACTCTAACCAAATCGTAGCCCTCGAGGCCGAAGGCGGGGTCAAGGCACGTATTCTGGGAATCACCAGGGATTGGGGAATGCTGAAGGCGGAGGAAGTAACAGCGGACGGCATCAACGGCGCACTGAGGCCGACAGGGAAGGTATGGGCACTACAGAGCGATGAGAACAGCTTCGACTATTGGAGGGGTCTCGTGAAGAGAAAGGTCTAAGAGGTCCGGATTCATGTTGGGGAGCGCGATCAGCTCAGACGATTGTGCTCGAACACCTGTCTCGCTACCGAGCGGACGAGCCGTGTTTCAAAGCCTCTGGAGCGGAAACTTCGATGCCTACATACAAATCATCGGCCAGTGGTTCTAGGGAAGAGCCAGAAGGGGTCAAAACTCAGGGGCCACGATTGGGTTAGACAAAACTCTGACACCAGCTCTCTGACCTCTGTTTCCCCGCAATGTGCTGTCAAAGTGCGTTGCCGCGCATGGCAGCGTTGCATTTTGCGGAGAGATAGCCGAAGAGACTTCGATCTCCCATCCTGGCTTTGTATAGGATCTCGCTCTCTCTCTTGCATTACCTCTTCTCTTGTTCAAGACGTGATGGACATTTGCGATGTGAAGTCTTCATCCACTGATCTCGGTCCCATCTGGGACACTCACACCAGTTCTGCTTACCAGCTATGTTTGCTCTCCGCAACAATGGCCTGTTCATCAGGCGCAGGAGGAAGCAAACCGGACAGCTATTGGAAGACCGATGCAACTCTCACCCCCGTCTTTTCCTGCACGCTGTGTCCTGGGGCCCAGCATGGCGTCCCAGCGCCCGGACGCACAAGCAGGCTCCCTGAAGAGCCCGTTCAGCAGGCGCATGCCAACACGATACCACAATGAGCGGGAACTTGATGTAGGTGAGGTCTTCACACTGAACACTTGACAGGTGGGACAACTCCCATCGATCTTGGAACAAGCCCGGCTTCAATCGCCTTTCTACCTATCTGCCAGCGCTCCATATGGCGAGACCGATATTCCAGGAAATGGCGAAATCGGTCCGCGACGGAGGTCGTCGTGGATCGTCCGACGGCAAATACAGCAGCCAAGATACAAGTACCGCCGAACTTGGTCGCCGCCATACTATGCAATATACCAGTTCTTGTCCATCGTCGGCATTGAGCTGCATATTTCCCTCTCTGCGAGCACCCCGCAAAGTAGCTTTCCGCCATCCGTCTCCCGCACGCGAATTCTGCCTCAATCCGCTGCACCACCTCGGCTCCCGGGAGTGCGTCCAATCACATCACGCGGTATTTCTACACGGCGTGCTTTCGTCCCGTGCCTTTTTCTGCAAAGCATGGAAGAACATTCGCAGCTCTGTTCTGTGCGCCCCGGCCTGCACTGGCTTGGGCAGGTGCATGTGGCCGGGCACTCTATCCTGATGACCTCGCACGGCATCGCTTGCTATTTTCTTCACTGGTAATATGGGTAGGACGGGCATGTGGGGGGGTTCAAATACTCCATGAAGCCATGTTTACTGTCACTGCTGGTTTTCTCTCCTTGCTCGGACTCGTCTTCACATTCGACTTACTGTGATACGTATCGTAAAACCCAGTCGGGACAGACGCCCTTTCGGAGGATAGAGTCGGAGACCGGAGTATCCAATCCAAGAAGAGGTAGCATGCTGCGGACCTGGAGTACCAGGTTGGAGAAAGTGTGAATCCATCGTACCCGGCGAGGTGCCACTAGGAGCAACGATGGCTATCCCGGTGATCATCGAGACCGGTTACACGAAATTCAACCTCAGTTATCCTGCGGTCCTAGCCAATGCTACACCAACCATGGTAAGTCCCAACGGAGATGGCACCGATGTAAGTCACCCCATTCTCTGCCTTTGGCTCCTGGTGAAGATAACCCCTGACACATTTGGAAGGCAAACCATCACATCGTCCCGGGCATACTCATGGGCATCCTCATCCCGCACATTGTTTGCACGGTTTTCATCTTCTCGCGGATCTGGTCCCGCCTGTTCCTCCTCCGAAAATGGTTTCTGGACGACACTCTCATCGTCCTGGCTTGGGTCTTTTCGACAGCCGTTTGCGTCGTCTACAGCATTGCCTCCCAGTCTCCGCACATCCGTGGCTCTGCCAAGCTCAGCTCGAGCAGCACCAGCAGCGTCCCAGATACAGCCGCGGAACGAGTCTACGAAACTGACTACAACCCAAGCGCGTACTACTCCGCCCCGGACGCGCTCCGCCCTTACATCCTCCGCACCTATGTCGGACTGATCCTCTACCAGCTTTGCCTCTGCCTGACCAAGCTCTCCATCCTGGTCTTTTACCTGCGCATCTTCCAGACGCGACCGCTCGAGAAGCGGCTGGCCTGGGCGACCGTCATCGCAGTGCTTCTGTTTGGCTGCCCGTTGCTCTTCATGAGCATCTTCCAGTGCCACCCGGTGGCGGGCGAGTTTTTCGGCGTGCCCATGAAATGCTTCACCTTTGACCCACTGCTGGTGGCGTCGACGGCGCTGCACACGGCCACCGACGCCTGGCTGATCCTGCTTATCATCCCCTGCATCGTGCGCCTACGCGACCTGCCGCCCCGCCAAAAGGCCGCCCTCGCCGTCGTGCTCAGCCTGAGCATCTTTGTCATCGCTGCGAGCCTCATCCGCCTGCAGCTCTCGCTCCGATCTAACCACCGGCCCAGCGGCGACGGCGTGGGCGTGGCGAATACCCTGGCGTTTTTTGTCATGACTATCGTCGAGCTGGACATGGCGCTCATCTGCGCCAGCGCGCCGACGCTGCGGCCGGTTCTGGCGAAGTTGTGGCCGAGGTTGGGAATGGGGGAGCCGGTTTCTGCAGTTGGGGGCAGGAGGAGAAGGACAGGGAGGGGGCGAATAAGACTCAGGGGGGGCAGGAGGGATAGGCAAAGAGAGAGTCATGATGAGAATGACGAGGAAGGGGATAGTAGTGATGGGAGCGTGGACCTGACCAGCGTGGTCAGCTATCATGGCTACCCATGGACGCAGCCTTGCACGCCGATAGGGCCCGGCGCGAGGAGCAAAAACTCGAGCGTCAACAATGTGGCCAACGCTGCGGCGGCCGCGGTGCCGCCACCACCAATGCCGGCACCGCCGCTGCCAGTACTTGCGCATCGGACGCCGACGACGCTTAGCTTGAGGAGCTTCATGAGCAGCATGGCCCCGCGAAGCCGGGGTCAGACAACGACTACTACTGGTACTACCGGCGGAGAGGACCGGGAGGGGCTGCTTTGGGATGGTGGTGGTGGCGATCTCAGTGATGGCCAGCAGCGCCGGAGGAGTTCGGTCGGGTTTGATGGTTACTACGACCAGTACCTTGGGTACGCAGCCTATGAAGCGGAGAAAAGGCGGAGCGGGTACGGGGCGGAAGGGGAACGCGAGATGCGGAGTCGCCGCGGGAGCCAGCGCTGTAGCGGACGATGGGGCGACAGCCAGGAGAGCTTCGTGCTCGGCATGAACGACCCCAATAGCCCCAGCAGACTGAGCCCGGTGTCGAGGCTTACTGGGGAGACGGCGGCGTTGCCGGGAAGCCCGACGGTCAAGGACGACGAGAAGTCAGCCGCGAGGTGATGCGCGGCGGTGAGGAGGAGCCATGTGCTGCGCCGTTGGATGTTCCCGCTTAGCAGTGGATGGCACCTCGCTTCTCCCTGTTCTTGGCTACTAGGTATCTTGGGTCTGACGATGATTATCCATCTTCCTGGCAACTATACACACTCGCTCCTAGATTTCTTTTTTATTTTTGGTGCCCCTGGGCATTGATACCCTGGGATTCCGAGTCTTGCTACGAGAGTAGTACGTGGTGGGAAGGGTGAAATGGATTGTCTGATCCGACACGCAAGGAGATAACCACGTGCTACTACTATCTAGCTGGCAACCTCAGGAGTGGCACACCCAGGCTGATCACATCATCACACCGCAAGCGTATACAGTATGGGTCTTAAAGAGAGAAAGGGGCTTGGCAGTCGTCACCAGGAAGCGTTACTTCCAGCTTACACACAAAGCCCATACTGTACATTGTTTCTGCTTCTGGGGGGATGTTGTTACCCTAGAAAATCTTATGGGGAAAGCATATGTAACACGCAGGCGCGGGAGTGTCGCATGAACCCACGAGATCGGACCGCCCCAGATGCAAGGAATAAGTTACATTTGTCTGGGAATCTGCATCTTGCCGAACCAACCCAACAACCCACAAGCCCGCAATGCTTGACGAGTTACGACAACAGAAGAGGCCGGAGAGACGATGCGCACGCGCTCAGACATCGCGCATCGTCCGAAGTCGTCTGCGGCAGCGATGAGCATCCGTTGGGCGGCTAAAGAAAGGGGATTGTGGAAGTATTGAAGGCGAGAATCTGCGACTTCCAAATTATAAGCGCATGGTCTGTCGACAATACGAAATCTCAACTTGAGCATCGGATGCCTCCTCTCTTTTTTCCTGAGACGCACTCTATCCACGACCTGCTTTCTTGATGCTTTACCATGCTGCTAGTCGGATGGCCTCAGATAAAAGAAGGTCAATCAACTGGACTCTGCAGCACACCTCCATGCCATGATCATCCCATCGGCTGGCCATCATTCCGTCGATTATTATGCATTCGTCCTCAAGTCCCGGGCCAGGGGGCATTGACCATTCCCGCCGCATCCCACCCGATCCGATTCTTCGAGAAGCTTTCCTGAACATCCGGTTGCCGGTCAGAGCCTTACGAGCAGAAGCCTGGAATCTCCAGATTGATGGCGCTACGCATGGATCTGACTGGTTGCCATCCCATCGAATACGCCGTCATTCTTTCGTTTCTTGTCTAGTTCTCCCGCGATCACCCGCCGGTTGTTATGCCTTGACTAGCAACAAAATCATGGAGAGCGGTCCGGTGCTCATGGGCTCCGCTAGACACCTTTGCGTCATGTCAGGCCGTCATGTCGGGTTCCGGGCTTCAGCATCTTGGATCGACCGACAATCTGGAGGACGCATCCTCACCTCACAATGGCACCTCTCACTGCTACCCTCGCTCTGCTGCCTTGGAAAGCTATCAGTTCCCTTGCACACTTCATCCAGGCACAATGACCTCAATGAGCTTTGGTGAATATCTCCAGTTGACGGATGTTGTCGATGCTCTTCGATATAGTCTTTAATAACTTTGCCTTTATCCGATCTGGTACCAGCTTGTCAACCATCTGATCTGTTTCTGCTTTGGCAAGAAGCACCCTACATACCCTTCCGCCTCAACGGCGTCCCGGCCTTCCATGATGCGACTAGAAAGAGGATGAGGATACTGCAGCGTCTGGGAACCCTTCTCCTGGGACTGCCTATTCCGGTTTTCTGTGAGCACTCGCCATTATATGTATCCAGCCACCGCGAGCAACCACCATTGCAAGGCGGGGTTGGTGCCAGGCCACCACTTCTCCCTTCGCCGCCGAGGTTAGGACCACCACCCGATGGACCGGCAGTTAAGGGCCATGCAAGCCGCTGGAGGAGGGAGAGGAAAAGGCAGGCGACCAATGCCAACGACCCGTCGAGCTTGGGACAAGCCCCCGTTGCGTTGCAGAATGCGACAGTCGTCTCTACAGAAACCATCACTCTCACCGTTACGTCCTTCACAGGCGCACCCGAGACGACAGTGGTCGTTGTCACCGAGACGGAGGTTCTAACATTTGTTGATCCAGCCCAGCAGACGCAAACATTGACGTCTACGGCTGCCGTCTTGTTTAGCCGAGCAAGGAGGACACTCAGGAATGCGCCGCCAACCTTATCACCAGGAACACCAGCACTAGTACATACACCAACGGTCCCTGGAACTCCCAACCCCATTTTGGCGCGAGACAATGGTCCGGCATTTGCAAAAAGTAGTGCACCCTCGGATTTTCCGAGGAGGTTAAGGCCAGGAAAACGAGACGATGCTGGCCTCGTCAGCAGAGTCACCTCCACAAGCACCGTGTTTGCGCGGAGTGTAGTGGTGGAAATGGTCACCAACACAGTATTCTCGGCCGTGACTGTCGCCCCCAACGCGGTCACGACTGTTGTTGTTACAACGACCGTCTTTGTAACCCAAGGGCCGAGTACAAGCTCGACACGGGGTAGTATCTCGGGTACTTCCTTTACATCTTCTACAAACTTATTTGCTTCGCCGAGCCGTTCCGCCACAAATTCCTCGCTCTTGACCTCTTCAGCTTTGACGTCAAGTTCACTTACGGAAATACCCCTGACGACATCCCAAACCGGCACGGCAACGATCCCGACCACCACAGCTACAGCCATTCCCGCTCCAGCAATTGCATCCTCTTCTCTGCCATCCGGCCAGATAGCAGGAATAGTCCTAGGCGGCATTGTCATCCTCTTCCTTCTCTTCCTCGCGGCCTACTTTGCCCGCCGCATCGTCCAGAAGCGCCGCTCCGTCCGCGCCCAGCAACGCCAGCAACTCACACCCCCCGAGGAGGCTGCCAATCCCAATTCCAAACTCAACCCCGTCATCGGTCCTAATAAACGCGGAAATGGTACTGGTTCAGCAGCAGTAGCACGCGTCAGATGGGCGTCACCGCCGACCGTACCGCCCTCGGCCTCAGTAGGAGCAGCAGTGCACAACAACAACGATAACAATAACAACATGCCAGAAGATGCAACGGGGCGCGAAGGCGAAGTGCGCATCGTGATACGCCCGGCGCCGAAACGCAGAACGCAGAGTTCGCAGCTCTGGCCTTTCTCGCCAGGCCATTTCGAACGAAGCGGAGGCGGACAGAATCAGGCTCAGGCGCAGGGTCAGGGGCGGGATTTTTACTTTACCAAAGAGGCGGGCGTTCTGAGCGCTTCACCCGCTGCTACGGGAACGGGAATGACGACGCCGGACCCGGCGGCGTGGAGCATTGATAGTGAGCGAGGCAGCTTGCAGGAGTAACAGCAGTTCTGAGGATGGCGAGACGAAGGAGCAATGATTTTGGATAGTACTAGAGATGTGCTGAGCTTTGGGCTCATGTTTGAGGGTTACTGCCAACTGTTTATGACATGTATGTACATGTACTGTACATGTATTACTTGATGCTGCCTTGTGTGTTTGTAAATAAAGTACCTATCCTTTGTCATTACTCGGCAGCAACAAGAAGAAATATTGCCACAACCGCTCCGTTATTGTGTTGAATCGTGTTTAGTCCTTGATGCCATCGATCCGAGATGGGCTCAGTACACGTTGTTGTCGCAGACGCGAGCTCGGTCAGCAACGCCTTCGACGTCCAACCTTAACCGGAGAGTGGCAGACTGCTCACAGAGCGGGATGAGATTTGGAATACTCGCACATGACAAACCAAACGACCAACCGATGACGACATGATTTTCGATATCTTGTGATTGGATCCGGGATTCGTTGGTACTTAACATATTAACGGATGCGTGATCAACGAGGAGATCAAACTGAGTTCAGGGGCCCGTAATGCATCTCTGCGAGGCAGAAGCCGTTGTATAAGGGGTACCTCTTCAGAGATCACGAGGTTTACGTGAGCCCAATACGGAACCAAGAGTCTTGATCCGGATATCGAGAGTGAAGGACAGAAAGGCATCACATGTTGTTTGCTCTTAGCCTGCCGTTCTATAGCCAGCCCCTCTCGGCCTCGTACTTCCCTAGACGAGACACCCCGTCTAGATGCGCCGTTTGCTCCGCCACCAAAAGCGCCGCCCTCTCCTATTTTCCCATCCTCCCCCACATAGAACATCGTATATATGATACAGCTATTAAAACATCATGAACAAACAGTGTAAAGCGGGAGTCATGCGATGCGGTCTAAGGTGATGCACAAAAAATGCCCTGGCACGCACCCGCCCGAATCCCAACCGCGTAACGCCAGGCCTGCCAAAAGTCGAGTGAAGATGTATGTGTAGCACGGGAATCGGGGCCGCCAACCTTCCGCCCAATCGTCGTCCCGTTGTCAATCCCGCAAAATGTTCGAAAGGGAGTGACATGGCTCGCGCGCCTTTCGGTGTCGTCTGTTCGGGCATCGTCACCATCGGGGTACATCGTCCTCGCCCGTGCCGTTCTTTCCTACAAGCGCCGGCCAAGAAAATTTCCAGACTGTACAGTTCTGCCAGAGGAAGGGGAACCGATTGGGCACTCCCCTCCTCTCCAGACCGGAAACAGCACAGCCCGAAATTCAAGCAACCCTTCCCCCACGACGGGGGTTTGGTTACCTATCCTTATAAATCTTCGGATTCCACCCCTCCTTAACCTCTGCCTCTTGCGCGGCCTTCTCCATGGCCGGGCGGACCTCGGCCTCGATGCGCTCGCGGGCGCGGAGGATCTTGCTCTGCAGGTAAAAGGAGCCGCCCTTTTTCGGGTCGTTGTTGTCAAACAGGCGCTTGAACCGCTCCATGACCTCGTCCATGTCGGCCTTGCCGCCCTGCGGGGGCTTGACGTTGAGTATCTTGCACGCCTCGTCCAGCGTCATGCCGCTGCTGAGACTGGCGCGCCCGGACGCGCCCACGCCATTGCCCGCCTTTGCTTGCGCCCGTTGGTACTGGCTCGACGCTGCCGCTTGCTTGTACGCTTCCGAGAAGGCGCGGCCTAGAACCCGCGTGCCGACGATGACGGCTTGGGTTATGAGGCGGTAGGCCTAGAGAGATTTCCCGGGTTAGATGCTTGCTGCGGCGCGGGAGGAAGAGGAACTTTGCATGCGGCTGGCTTACCATCGCTGTGAGATATAGTGTATGCAAGCGCAAATCGACTTGCTAATCTGCTTCGCCTGGGGATCGTATAGGATATTCTGCGGCCGTCGCGGTGTTTGTTTTTTCCAAGGGCTGTGGACCAGGCAATGGCATGACGGATGGATGGTGGAACGGTCTCGAAAATTATCGGCCAAAAGATTGCCTGCGCCGCCGATTGCCGGGGTTTGTCGATCGGCGGCGGGTCCCGGCAACTGATGGTTCGCTAATCTCTGCCAGAGTGCCAGTTGGTCTGGCAGCTGACAGCTGGCCACTGCAGCTGTAGGCTTTTTCCAGGCCAGGATGGCAGATGACGGTCAAGAAGCAGGTCGCAACCCGCAAAGAGCCCCGAAAGCCAACAACATCAAGCTGAATGTCAACGACCGACGGATACCTGTCATATTCACCAACCACACTCTTTCCTTTCGACACCTAACGGCCTAGTTTTACGATTCTAGCTACCGACCGCGATACCTGGAATACCCTACACCTTTGACAGGAGTTTCCTTTACTCATTTTCCCACAGCGGCACTCAACCATGTCGCAATACTACGGCGCACCGCCAAACCAGGGCTACGGCCCCTCTGGCGCGCAAAACCTCCAGTTCTACCCCTCCAGCTATACACAACCCGTGTCCGGCCATGCGACGCCTTCACAAGCATCATTCGGCTACGGAGGTCCCTCATCTGGAGGCTACGGCGTGTCGAGCGGCTTCAGTGCCGGCTTTGGCGGCGGGCCCGGCGTGTCAGGGCGCATGGGCGAGCAGGGCGGTCTGCGGACAGGGTGGCTAGCTGCCTTCTCGACCGAGGGCTATGACGGCGAGCCGCCGCTTCAAGAAGAGCTGGGCGTGAACTTTGGCCACATCAAAACAAAGGCATGCATGCACCTTCCTCCCTCTGACCGCGACCTTTGAATGGCACGCAAGTTCCCACTAACTTTTTTCCCTCTTTCCCGCAGACCCTCGCCGTGCTCAACCCCTTCAGCCGAATCGACCAGCACCTGATGGACGACAGCGACCTCGCCGGACCGCTCCTCTTCTTCCTCCTCTACGGCACCTTCCTCCTTCTCTCGGGCCGCGTACATTTCGGCTTCATCTACGGGCTCGCCGTGTTCGGCTCGGCGAGCCTGCACGTCATCCTCTCACTGATGGCCCCGTCACCGTCAGACCCATCAGCCCCTTCTTCGTACCATCCAGGGGTAGGCCCGGCCTACCCCACCGCCGAGGCGGCTTCAGTCAACGCCATCTCCTCCTCCGCCGCCGGCTCCTCCCCGCCCGGAAGCAGCAACCTCACTTTTGCCCGGTCCGCCTCGGTGCTCGGGTACTGCCTGCTCCCGCTGGTCATGACCAGCCTGGTGGGGATTGTCATGCCCATGGACACGCCGCTGGGGATTGTGTTGACCACGGCGGCCATCATGTGGTGCACGTGGAGCGCGAGCGGCATCTTTTGCGCCGTGGGCTGCATGAAGGCCATGAGGGGTCTGGTGGCGTACCCGTTGGCGCTGTTCTACGTCGGCTTTGGCATCATGGGCGTCTTCAGCAGCCGCGGGAGCGGGTCGGTTCCGACTGCTCCATAACATAATCATGTCCTTGGTGCCTGAGAATCTTGGAACGGTGTATGTGATTGGCGTAGGGATTGGTCAATTCCGGCTTGGTTGTTTGGTATTGTAAAAATGGGCATGCATGAAAAATCTTGGTAGGATCGCCGCGATTCTACTGAGCGGAGGACGACCCGGAGTTCAAATGCTGTACAACAGAACAATACCGTGGCTTAATTAGACAATGACGAGATGATTAAAAAGAGACATCCTAATGCGAACCTGCGTCAACTTCCTACTACTGATCTTGTCATCATCGCCTGGATTCTGTATTGGCTCCTCCGGGCGAACAACTATCACGCAAGGTAAAACCCTTATTGCTGCCGTTGTTACACGGTTGAGATTGGTGAAGATGGACGACGGGCCTTCTGAATCGTAGGGCAAGAGTTAAGAGCACCATGAGCACGCAACAGGACACAAGATGGAGATCAGCAAAACGCAGTATTAATCTATCCTCGCTACTTGCCGGCGAGAAGATCGTGTCCCAGAAGAATCCCGTCCCAGAAGAACCCCGTCCCATGCCACCCATGCCAGCCCATGTCATGAAAGAAGATGCCGCCGGCTGTTGTACAGGCAGGGAGATATAAGCAAATGCGTCCACCACGCCTAGCAAGCGCCTGAGGTGGGATCAGAAACAGCAAAAAAAGCGAGAACAACCGACGCCGAAATATCCGAGGGTATCCCACCCAGTGTCATCTAAAGCGCGAGCAAATGTGAGAGAAAATCTCCCCAGAAATATGCCACGCCATGCCGAACCATTATCCTGCCAGCCAGGAAAGCCACAAAACGGCATCCGTCTCCAATCAAGCCTGATGCGGGACCAAGCCGAGAAAGACCAGGCTGACAGAAAGCTCTCCTGGCGACGAAAGCACAAAAAGGCATCGCTCAATCCAGCCTGATGCGGGACCGAGCCGAGTAGAGACAAAGCTGACAGAAACTCTGCCGGCGATGAACGCAGAATACGGCATCGTCTCCTATCCAGCCTGATGCGAGACCAGTCGAGTAAAGACCAAGTCGAGTAAAGACCAAGTCGAGTAAAGACCAAGTCGAGTAAAGACCAGGCAAACAGAAACTAGCTGCTGCTGGAAAAAACTCAACTCCCCGTCGTTTGTTGTATGTTCGTGACTCATTCATTCCTTGGGTGAGGAACATCGAAGTCGCAATTTTCTTGGGGAACAAATGTTTGTTCGCAATTGATAAAGTAGTCCGCTTTCGCGGAAACAGTGAGATCCAGCTCAAACATCCACAGCAAGGGTCTAACCATGCCCTAGTTCTCCTCAGGGAGAGCGCCAAGAATGCTGTACTGGCCGCCGGCGCCAGCAAAGATGATCTTCCTGTCGCGGATGGCGGAGTTATCAATGAGGGTGGGCCTCTCAATGTCGTCGGTGGTGCCCTGGCCGGTCTGGTAGTTTGCCGAAAATCCCCAAGAGTAAACCTTGCCGTCCTGGGTAATGGCGAAGCTGTGGTCGGTGCCCGCCGCGACACCGACAACATCCTTGATCTCCGGGACAACGGTCGGGACCAGGAGGATACGCGGGGTGTTGCGCTCATCGTAGATGGTGTTGTCCTCAGAGAAGGACGACGAGGGCTGGCCAACCTGGTGTCCGTCGATGCGGCCCCAGGTGATCAGTTCGCCATTTTTGGTGCATGCGAGCGAGTGGTGCTCGCCACCGGCGATGTCGACGATCTCGTAATCGGCCAGCTTCTTCATAAGTTGCGGGCGCATAACGTAACCGCCGTCCTGGCCGGCCTCGTCCTCGACGCCGAGCTCGGCGTAATTGTTCAGACCCCAGCCGATGACGCGGCCCTTGGTGTCAATCACAAAGCAATGGTACGAACCGCAGGCAATCTTGTGCACCTTGGCGCGGCCGGGAAGGGTACCGATGCAAGTCGGGTAGAGAGCAGCGATATCGTCGCGCTCCAGGAGCCTGCGAGCCAGCTGGGCTTGCTGGCCAGCGCCCCAAGCATAGACTTTGTTCTTTTCGTCGAGAGCGAGAATGTGATTCAGTCCAGCAGCCAGTTGTTTGATCTTGGAGAGCTCCGGAACAAGGGTCGGAGTGCGCTGGACCAAAACAGTACGGCTGAAACCGAGAATGCCTTCGTTGCTCTGCAGAGAGTGTTAGTAGATGAAGTACAGTGGTGGAAAACAATGCAAAGGCTTACTCTGAATGTGCCCCATCCGTAAACTTGGCCAGTCTCGGTCAGAGCGAAGGTCGCGCTATCACTGGCGACGACCTGAACCCACTTTGTTCCCTCAGGGATCGTCGAGGTGTCAATCTCTCCAGGTGTGCTCTCCTTGGGGTTCATACCCGTGTCGTCATCATCGTCGGAATCAGAGCTGTTATCATCCGCCATGTCTTTCAGGCCGCCATCCCAGGTGGTGTCGCGACCGAGGGCGCCCTGATCGTTAACGCCCCACGTCAAGATTTTGTTGTCCTTGGTGAGGGCGGCGACGTGCATGCCGCCGCAGGCAACTTGCACGACATCCTTCAGATTGTGGTTGATCCGGGGTCGCTTGACGTCAATGGGCTTTTTGTTGCCATCGTACTTGACGCTTCCCAAGCCAAGCTCGCCGGCGGTGCCCTCGCCGAACACAAAAATGTCCATAACCTGGGTGGGCGGCTCGTTGATGACCTTGAGCGCGCGCGCAACGCGCTTGGCTGCAGGTTTGGCGACGGGCTCGGCCGCCTTTCTCTTCTTGGACGGCGCAGCTGGTGCTCCTTGATTCTGCTCTTGCTCTTCGGCGGCATCGCCATTCTTGGCGCGTTTGGGAGCGCGCTTGTTCGCGGCGCCGGCGTCATTGGCGACCTCTTCGTCAGTCTGCTCATCGTCCTCGGCATCCCGCTTACGTTTGATGCCGTTGACGGGGCCAGCTGCGTTCTCCTTGTCGGACTCGTCCGCAGCTTTCTTGGCTGGCGCAGCTTTCTTAGCTGCAGCTGTCTTCTTGGGAGCGGCCGCCTTCTTCGGCGCAGCGGCCTTCTTCGGCGCAGCGGCTTTTTTCGGCGCAGCGGCCTTCTTGGGCGCCGCAGTCTTCTTGGAAGCGGCGGTAGCCTTCTTGGTGGTAGTTTGCTTTGTCGCAGACGAAGCGCTTGCGCCCGCCGCGGCGGCTCTCTTGGGAGGCATCGTGGTTCGAAGCTCGCCAATTGTCAATGGGGAGAGCGGGATAATGCAGAGATTGCAAGAGAAGTAAGATGGGTTGGAGTTTCAGAAAATGATTTGCAAAGTGGTTATGCAGATGGACTTTGGATGTAATCGCGCTGTGAGCGAGAGAATTCACCTTGCGGACAAAGTTGGTGGTGAGTGAAAGTGAAAGGCTCGAGGAATTTTGGGTGTAGAAAAGGTTGCGCGCCTTTCTTGGGCTCGACTGTTTTTTTTTATCTTTCCTATTTTGGCGTCACGGTCCCACCAAAGACCTCTATTGTGGCTCGACCAACAATAGGCACAGCCTATTCACAAATCGCACAATAGCAAGCAGAGCTATTGGACCTATTAGGCGGGCCTAACTCAGTTTCAATTCTCTATTGTTAACGCGGTCTCGCTCACTATTATGATTGTCTAGAACTGGTGAATGCGAGTCGTGGCTAACACGATCTATTCAGTGACTCTCCAGTCGCGTTTAAAGGAACGATTTTCTGCCGGGCGGTCAGAAACATGGATGCCACCTAGAGCTCGCGCCACATTTCAAGTTCAGCCGCACCAGCCACTGCAGTTGTGGCGTCTCTGGTGGGATGACGTCGGGTTGGCACTGGGCCAACCTCGATATTGTACTCCGCACGCAGTTCGATGATCGAACTTCGATCCGTCGCGGAATCTTACAGCCTTCCAGCCCTCTCTCCCTGGGCCCTTATCAGCAGGGCTGATTCTACAATGTTGTTGCTTGATATCTTCATGACGGTGGCTTCTTCCTATGTATTGTCCAAGAATTTCCATCGTAATCCACACTTCTGTCTGGTAAACACCGTGGTGGGACAGGTCACAGGTGGCGTGTGTCACGCGGTACGGTAGACCGAAAGGGAACTCTGGATTTGTTGCGTACTACCTATACCTCCCTATCCATTGGGCCGCGGAATCCTTTCGCCGTATTTACGTTTGCACCAAGAAGGTGCCAGTGGTCGACGGGCAAGGTGGTAGAAGGAGCATTCGTTGCCGCTCTTGCTGTCGATGCTTCATACTTGGCTAATGTATGATCACAAATTCAGTCCGACAGCATGGATCAACGTTCCGAATTCCCAGTCGCCCGCTACCCCGATCTCGAGTCCCACAGAGGGTGTTTGTGAGACTTTACCGCAGCGCCAGTCGGATGGGACGAATGGCTTGTGAGTAGGCTCGCATACCTACATAACTGAGACACAAGGGCCTAGCTTGCCTCTAGGACACCGGCCCCATCCCCATCCCCCATCTCTTCTTGCCTCCTCTTCCTTCTTCCTTCTCTGCCACTCCGACAATCTTTGTTTGGTACTCAGTTACGCGATCAAGATGCCCTCACGACCATTTCCCCTCATCCAGACTGTTCCGGTCGCCGAGGGGACTCCCGAGTTTGTGGAGTTGAAGAACTCAATAGTCGGCGAGTTCGTTGCAAAGGTGCCCGAGGAGCTTTATATTCCCCAGCACTTCATCGACAGCCCACCCAAGAATGTTACTGCGATTCCGCGTCAGTGTGGCATCCTGACTCAGCAGGAGCTCGACATCACCGAGAACCACGATGCGGCGGCTCTAGCAGGTCTCATCCGCAAGAGAGTTCTCACTGCCGTCGCTGTCGCCACAGCCTTTGCCAAGCGCGCCATCATTGCCCACCAGGTCAGCTGCTGCTTGGTTGAGTGGTTCATGGACGAGGCAGTTCAGCGCGCGAGGGAGCTGGATGAATACCAGGCTTCCACCGGAACGACGGTTGGTCCTCTACATGGCGTCCCCATCAGTTTGAAGGAGCACATGCCCCTTGCGGGACATTATTCTTCTGCCGGATACGTGAGCACCCGGGTCAAGGACACACAAGACTGCCATATGGTAGCCATTCTGCGGAAGCTGGGCGCCGTCTTCTACTGCAAAACCAATCAGCCGCAGTCCCTCATGCATCTCGAAACTGACTCTCCTTATGGACGGGTCTTGAATCCCCACAACATCACTCTCTCTGCGGGCGGTTCCACCGGCGGAGAGGCTGCTCTGATCGCCCTCCGTGGCTCGGTGCTAGGCATCGGCACGGATATCGGCGGCAGCATCCGTTGCCCATCTGGCTTCTGCGGAATCTATGGTTTCAAGCCAACCTCGTACATGCTGCCTATGCACGACTTCCTGCACGGGGGTGCCGCTGCAGAGCTCAACATTCTCATATCGGCGGGTCCAATGTGCACTTCATTAAGAGATATAGACCTTTTTATGGAGACAATACTCTCCCAGCGGCCGTATCTCGCAGATCCGCGGCTGGTTCGCATTCCTTGGACAGGGCTTACCACTAACGTCTGGACGAACCCGATCAAAGTTGGTATTATGATGGACGACGGCCACATCCAGCCGCAACCGCCCGTAACCAGGGCTCTTGATTGGGCTAAAGCTCGGCTGGAAAGCTTCAAAAACTTTCAAGTAAAGCCATTCAAGCCCTACCGCACGGCTGAGGCCATCAAGCTCATACGGAAGGCGTATTGGCCTGACGGCGGCAGGGGCACAAAGCACCATTTACAAGAGACCGGCGAGCCCATGTTCGCACTGACCAAACACATCATTGAGGATGCCGAAGGCCCAGAGCTTACCGCGTCCGAGGTGCACCAGCAGCGCCTGACCCGCGACCAGTTTCGTTGCGACTTTGCCCGCCATTGGACCGAGCAGGACGTCGATGTCGTCATCTGCCCCGTCTTCGTCGGCCCCGCGTGTGCCCACGACACAGCCTTTTACTGGAACTACACAGCTTTCTGGAACTATGTGGACTGCCCGGCCGCCGTTGTCCCCACGCCTGTCAAGGCGCTGAAGAAGGGTGCTGAGGATTATGCCCCGTCGAACAAAACGCCGCTCAGTGAGGAATGCAAACATGTCAGACAATTGTGGGCCGAGGGAGACTTTGAAGGGGCGCCGATCAACTTGCAGATTGTGGCCAGGAAATACCATGATAACGAGTTGCTTGGGACCTTGCACACCATGTTGGGGGAGGGTTTTTTTTCCTTTGCCTAGACATCGAGGCTTGCGGGATGCTAGGTACTCGCGAGCCGATCCAATTCCAGGAATACTGGTCGAGTTCCTACAGCGGTCACTGCCTGCAGCTGGCTGTGTTCAAACCACTATAGAAGATTGGAGTGCAAAGTCTTATTGATCCGCCTTCAGACAGAGAAAGTATTTCAGGTAATCTCCCCTCAAGCAACGGCAGGGTACCTCTCCAAGTGGACCATCCCAAACAGTTAGATCTTCATGCGAGTAATGCGGTCTCGGTTTGCTCCGACGCCGAGTTTGCTTGTGATGCTCGTTATCACCCGTCTACTTCCAGTGTCTGCACTAAAACTCCTCAACGCCAACGCCATTCATAGCCCACTCCCATTCCCTCTCCGACCCAGTTCAATCCCCGATCCTTCTTGATCCCCGCCAAACCTCGTTGACCTCACACATCAAGCTCTTGTCGTGAAGTCGATTTCATTCCGAGACGGATTATACCCCCCATCCACCGCATTCTCACACGTGCAGGCATCTAGATGACCCCCCAAGGCAAATCGATCAGCCACAGACCCACGAACAAATCAGTAGGGATAAGGAAAGTAAAAACATACCAGCAGGTCGGGCCCCGCACGAGCAGGTGCTGCCGTCGCTGAGCGGCTGGTTCTCGGTCGCCGCGCGGTCACAGGTGCACTGGCCCGCGGGACGGGCGCGGCAGGAGCAGCGGGCGCCACGAATCGCGTTCTCGGTCCCGGCTTGGGCGCAGTCGCAGTGCAGCGCGCTCTGCTTGCCGCAGGAGCAGGTTGCTTGTTTGGCTGCCCGGTTGGTTAGCATGTGTAACTACCTAATTGAAGGATTTTTGTCAAGGAGAAAAGGTTCCATGAGTGGCGATGGGAGAGCAGAGAAACGGGATCATGGGGAAGGGTGACTGTGAATGAAAGGGCATAGGTAAGGTGAGTTTAATGCTTACCGCAGACGCACTCGGCGCTCTTGCCGCAGCAGGTGGCTGGTTTGGCTGTCATGGCTGCTGGTAGCTCGGGTACTTGTTTGGTGGGGTGGTGGCTGAAGAGCAGGTTTGCGATATGAGACTGAGATCGGACCAGACTTTAGAAAATTGGCGTATCTCCTTGAGACTTGCGATGTATAAGGGATGATTTCTTGCAAAATCTCAGCAGTATAAGGAGAATATGGACTTGTAAAATGTTGTTGATGGAATCTGAACGTCAAGATGGTCGTGTGAGGAGTGAGAGATAGGAGGTCAACTTATATTCCCGATTTGGCTGATGTCACAGCTGTTGGCGGCAAGGCTGCAGGCTGAAACTGTGGGGCTTTCAAGTGCCGGGTACCCCAGCTCCAGCCTGATCGGGTCATCGCGGGTTTTCTAATTGGTTGCAGCGCTTGTAACGCTAGCCAATGACAGCCAAGGCATTTCTCATCAGCTTGGCGATAGCTTGGCGATGGGTCCACGCACGACTCCTCGACCTCAAACAACTGTCAACGCTGACAACGAACCTTGACATGCAATTGGCATTGACTGCAAGCTACGTTTGTGGATGTTTTATCTGCTCGTTTAACACGGTCATGTTCTGCGTGGCTGAAGGCATTTCTGAACGTCCTGAGAACTGCTTCAGGAGGCAAAGTTGAACACGTTTAGTCAAATCGTTGGGTTGCGAACATGAAGGACCCTTGATCCTGCCTAGTCAGGGAGTTATCAACTTACTTGGTGTTACGTTTTCTTCAACACATGCCATTCTTCGAATATTGACTGAGTGGGCAATTTGGGAGAATGAAACATCTGGTGAACCGCAAATTTAGGGGGCAGCATGTGATCGGTGTAGAAGGTGCACCACTTGGCCACTTCGCAACAGTCACTTAACCTGGGCTGGGTGATATGAGGAATGGTAGTACCTTGGCTTTGGCTTAGGGGTTTTCCCCAACAAAGGCAGTCCGAGACACGCTTGGAGCTGAACGGGCAAACAGATTTACGATCAATGCCTAAGATCTCTTCCTCCGGCATCATAGCCATGATACAACCCCATCCATGATCCAACACATCGTTGCATCGGGCGTGCGTCAGCCATCTTCTTCAACCTTTCTTTCATTCCTTTTCAAGAAGATACACCTCGACGGACTGCCCTTCGCCGTCGAGGACGGGGAGTGGCAGCACCGTCTTCTCTCGGACAACCCACCCATCGGCGGCCATCAAATCAAACGCAATGCTCTCGGACGAATGCCTGGGCTTCGTTGCTAGAAGAACCTTCGCCACAACCGAGCTTTCGGCGTGGCAACCTTGCAACCCTTGGCTGTGCAGCGCAGTAAGCGTCTTGACCAGGGGTTGCAAGGTGTCGGTGTTGTAGGTGCAATCGCTGAGCATTATGAGGTCCCAGGCACAGGACCTGACTTTCTCGCCAAAGATGCCATGCTGCCCGTCCTCCCAATTTAATGGCTCAAAATCGAGCGTCGCGGGCCCTTCTCTCAAAGCGTCGGATTGGCGCGCCATGTTTGCTCGCGCCCGCGCTTCGGCCTCGGGGACGTCAGTCATGAGGATGTTGGTCGTCGCTCTTTCCCGGCCCATCAGAGACAGAATCCGTGCCATACCAATGCCCAGGGTCCCAATACCGCAGCCAAGTTCCAGGATATTCAACGGGCGTTGCTGCTGGCCCCGCAGGATGGTGCGCAACGTTGGCAGAGCTGTTGTGCTAGACTCTTGGGGTATGTTATCCGAGCAGATGGCGGCGACAAACGACATGGCCGCGATCCCTCCATCCCATATGCGGCGGGCGATGCTCATGCCAATGTCTTCTTCGAGTTGCATCGCTTCGAATCGGCTACCCGCCCCCGTCGGAGGGGTAGGCAATCTCAGGCTGCGGAAACACACAGAAGCCGGGTGCGTATCACTCTGTCTGTGTTGTATGTCTGCATATGCAGCCATGATCCACCCTTGGCCGCCGCTAATAATGTCGGTGGTACTGAGAGCGGTCAGTTCCCGGCTTGCAGGTCGGACCTGAATCGTCTCAACGGGCTGCTGCGCGGGTAGCGGAACCTCAAACTTGAGCACTCTCATTCCAGCCCGCCATCTAAGGGTGCAACCCAGGGATAGGTTGATTGGAGTGAGCCGGTCCACCCCGTCTTTGCGCTCCGTGTACGCGCCTATCACGGCAAGCTCGATCGGGTTGTGAGGGGCGAGGTAAGCGTCGCCGAGATCGGTGGTGACGGTTAGCACGAGTTTCAGGGACGACCGAGATTCCCCTTGCTCGACCTCGGGCGCCCGTAAGAACCTGATGTAGTGCATGTTTGCGGGCCACGGATTGGCCTAGAGTGTGATGCGGTTGCCATGAAGATGATCAAGTGCGAGTTCGAAGGAAAGTGAAACTGTGAAAGTTGAAAATTTCCACAAAGGGTTAGGGTTGGACCCCCCCCCCCCCCCAAGGACGGCTCCTGAGGTCCTGAAGGAGGTTGAAGACCAGGCCTTAGCTATAATGAGTGACGCTTGCTTACTGCCATAGAGATAGTATAGGCGGACTAAGGTTCGGTTGGCTCATGACTCTTGGAAACTGTACAGTAGTCTGGCTCCTGACTCAGAAAACGCACGAACTTCAGGGAGAAACGATACAGAGAAGACTAAGATGTTACATTTTCGTAATCAGTCTAAGTTACTTGAAAACCGCATTGTGATTAAGGTAGAAAGTATTTGCACCACTAGTGGAACTGTGGAAGATTGATATGATCTTGAACCCTGAACCCGAGTGCCTTCCCTTTAGGCCTTTACCATCCGGTCCATCCCAACCGTTGAGTTCTCAGTGGTCTGTGGCCCAATTGACGAAAATGAAAGGGTATCAACCCGTGGTCAAATGCCACATGTCAACGACAAAACCAGTGCTGGACGCGCGCATGGTGCCGAAAGCAAAGGCCGTGTTGAGCCACGCGTAGTTCTTGCTCCCTGTTTGGAATGTCGTTCGCACGTGGATCGTGCCATTTGTCCCCTCCATGAGACCCGCCATCTGGACATAAATATTCACATTGTCCATGGTGCGGATCTGGGCGCGTATGTCGGAATAAAAAGCCCCTTGCGGTGTTGACAGCGCCCAGTCTGCGCCGAGGGCCAGCATTTTGCCTTCAACACGTGTAAGTATACGCAAATCTAGTAAGTTTCATACTATTGTCGGGACATCTCAAATTTTGAAGAATGAATGGGAAAAAGCACACCAGATAGTTTGGGCCCCAGCACAGCGCCCCCGATAATAGGAATCACGGTGACATTGCCTGCCGGAATGGGACCAACGTCGACCGATAGACCGACCGTGATGTTGGCGTTGAAGAGATACTGTACGCCTGGTGCCGGCGGAAGAGCATCGGCCGCTTCCACGCCCAGCGCACCGGGTAGCAGGGCGCCCGCGAGCAGAGAAAGATTGAACAGTCGCATACCGGACGGGGTCCAAAGAAGATATATGTCAACTCCCTGTGCACAGGTCTCAATACTCAATACTTCTCTGGTGGAAAATCAGCAGAGTAAAGAGACCTCTCCTATTTCTTATGTATGTACCTACCTTTAGTTGCTATGCCATGTCAATGACATGCATCTCAACCGAATGTGTTCATGTCATACAAGACTCGATCCCGATTCCTTCTGCCGGTTCAATTAGTCTCTTGCTTGCAATGTTTCACTAAATCGCTACCAATCATCCGATCATCCAATTATCCAATTGGATGTGACGCCAACATCGATCTGTATGCGTCTCCATTTGGCTGTGTCAATCATCTGTGTACCTACCTATATTGTGTATACGTAGGTAGTCCCCTATTTTTAGCCGTCTACGATGGCTTGGATACATCTACTCACCTAGAATGCTTGGGACCGTACCTGATTTACGGACTACATACCTACACTACGTACCGACCTTATGTGGGAATATCGTCCAAGATTGACCTCACCAGGGCTTTGGGTAATCTCACTACAGATACAATGATGCCAGCATTATTGAAACCTTCCGCTACCATGGTACCAACAACCCTCCGAGTCCCATTCGTTGAGCCAGTCGATGCAGAGACGGTGCATTTCCAAGTTGAGGGGAAACTTGGTCATGAAAACTCCGAGTCTTGTTGGGGAAGCGCTTTGTCTGATCACCTCTGATCCCTGGCGATAACGGTCACTTATTTCAAGTTAGGTAGGTACTATCCGCTATCGTGCCAATTGCAGACATATTATCCCGATATTAACGGCTCGGTTTGTTCCGGTTGATCTACACATGTTCCCCCCGTCTTCCCCACGTCTCCAGGCTGCCTGTTAGTGACTTACCATTACCGAACCTCTTGTATCTGATGGCACATGGAGAGCCTAGCAGGACTTCGAACGATTAGTACTACGAACGCAAGTACTGGCAGATTACCCCCTCAAGCCCACCCTCGTCATCTGATAAATGACTGCTAATGTATTCTAGAAAGTCCATATCCCGCGGCTCATCCGAATTAACCAATGTTGCTTTGAATGCTGCTGAAATCCACGCGTAAGCGTAGGGACATCCGCTGTGTGATACCTGGTGTATGGACTTCTTCTCTTTCCTAGCGACGGTCATACCCGGTTACACCTCGGCCACGCTGTCGGGATCATGAACTCACTCAGGCTCTTTTGGTTGCCGGTCTAAATTACATACTAGTAGCCAAGACCCCTGCCCTGGGTTGGCTATCGTTGACGTTTCTCACTGGGAATTCACGAAGACAGCCGTACAAGTTCTACAACCACAGTCTGGCCCCTATGATCAGAATGCGGTGTCAAACATACTGGCTTCTTTGGAGCTGTCTTGTGGCCGGTAGCCTGGCAGCATGGCAGGTTACCACCGAAGGCATGGCTAAAGCTGTCCAAGCCGCCGACGAGTGGACTTATCTTCCTCTCCCGTCGACCGACCCCTGGTACTCGCCCCCTGAAGGATGGGAGGCCACAGAGCCTGGCACACTCTTGAGGCTTCGGCAGCATGCCTACAACACGACGCCACTAGCCATTGCAAACGCTGTGGATACGTTCCAGGTCCTCTTTCGCTCGACCGACAGCCACCAGAACGCCACCTGGGGCGTCACAACCGTCTTCATGCCTGCTCATCAGCCATGCAGCAATGGCACGGGAGCTGCAGACACAAAGAACTGCACCCTGAGGATCCTCTCGTACCAGCTTCCCTACGACACTTCCTGTCTCGACGCGAGCCCCAGTTTCGGACTACAATGGGGCGAGCCCTACGGCGAGATGGCAGCGGCTCTGAAACGGGGCTGGTGGGTAGCCGTCCCGGACTATGAAGGCCCACTGGCCTCGTACGGCGCCAACATCATCGCCGGCTACATCACGCTCGACTCGATCCGGGCCGTTTTGGAGGCTTCCCGCCGGCTTGAGCCCCCTCTGAGCTTCACCGACACCCGCGTTGCCCTGTGGGGATACAGCAACGGGGCGTCAGCGACCGAGGCTGCCGTCGAGTTCGCTGCCACATACGCTCCCGGGTTAAAGAACAAGATTGTGGGCGCCGCCATTGGCGGAGTCGCGCCCATGGCCGCCATGAACGCCGCCCAGATCCTCGCCCAAACCCAGGTCTCGGGCCTCCTGGTGCAGGGCATCATCGGCATCACGAGCCAGTATCCAAAGCAACGCGAGTACGTGCTCAGCCGACTGTTTCCGTCGGGGCCGTACAACGCGACCGAGTTCTTCTGGGCGAGCTACATGAGCGGGTGGCAGTCGCTGCTGTATTACTCGTACGTGAACGTGTTTGAGTACTTCATCGGCGGCCGGGCCGACCTGGAAACCCCGGAGATGGTCGACATGTTCGCCAGGGAGGGCGTGCTGGGGGGGTTTGGCGTGCCGAATATGCCTGTGTTCTTGTACCAGGCCGTTCAAGACGAGATGGCGCCGATACAGGATTCGGACAACCTGGTAGACTGGTTGTGTAGTCAGGGGGCACGGATATTGTATCACCGCAACCACTGGGGGGGCCATAATGATGAACTCACAAACGGGCGCCAGCGGGCGCTGGACTATCTCGGCGATGTCTTGGACGGGAGCAATGTCCTTTCGTTTCCTCCGACCGGCTGTCAGACTGTCAACGTCACGTTCATGCAGGATCCTAGCAAGCCTATCGTCTGACGCAAGTCTGATGCTCAGTGACTCTGGCTGTAGATCGGCACTGTCAACTTGAAGGTTGAGGGAATGTCACGGAGGCTACGAGAGAATTTGTGTATGTACAATCGAACTTCTTCTATATCCTACCTACCCAATTAGTTAGCTAGTGTACCAAGTAGGGCTTGTTACAAGCTTCCTCGCTGCAAGATCCGGCTCCATCTCTCTTCTTTTCCCCTCCCCCTTATTCAGCACAGGGCCAGACCCCTCAAGTTCCCCGGCCATCAGGGGTAACTTGCCAACTCATCTCCCGCAAAGGCGAGGTTCTCAATGGCCGCCAAACCATACTGCGCAACATCATTGGTGGCGAGCCAGCTTGCCTCATCCACCGGGATCAACACCTTGCTCCCACCGACGCGCGTCGCATTCCAGGGGGCGCTCTCCTTAAGCCCATCCGTGCCATAGAACTCCTTCCAGGCACGGTACTCGATGGTCTTGTTGTTGCGCTCGCGCCCAGCGTACGCTGTAAGGCGGGAGTGGCCCTGATACAGGTTCAGCGTGCCAAAATTGACGCCGTAGCGGGCCGCCTGCTCGGCTTTTGGCGCGCCAAAGTAGTAGCAGTAGTCGAGCCAGGCCGACTTAAACCCCTTGGGCAGCTCCTCGTCGCCGAACCACTCAATCAGCTCCGAAACCACCTCGACCAGACCAAAGACGGCGGACAGATGCGAGACGGACACGTTGCCGCGGTTGGCTGGGTCTGCCGGGGGAGGACCGAGCGTCCACGAGGTTAGGTTGTACAATCCAGAGCCCGTGACGAAACCGTTGGTGAGATTGGCGATGCCGGCCATGGTGTTGATGAGCTTGGTCCTGGACTCGTTCCAGCGTGGCGTCCGTCGCTCCCAGTCAATAAGCCATCCGGCCGCGAGCGCGGACCAGTCGGTGCCGAGGCCGATGGCGACGGTCGAGCCCGGGGAAGGCGTCCATCCGTCGGTGCGGACTTTGCGGTTGGGGTCCAAGACGCCGTACGTCTTGTCCGTGTCGAGAAGCTCCTCGAGCAGCTCCCCGACGCGCTCGTCGCCCCCAGACAGATAGTAAAAGTACTTGCGATACTGGGGTTGCGAGATGCGGGCTTGCTTGGCGCTGTCGCTCCAGTGCTGAACGCCGTGCCGGGTTCCCAGCCCCTTCCACTTGCCGATGTGGTAGACGTCGACTTCGCCCGTGTGGCGGGTCAGCGCCTCGGCGAACCGGTAGACGTCCTCGCGGCCGGTGCGCAAAAAGTACAGCCAGAAAAAAAGATCGGGCGAGAGCTCCGAATTATCCCATGCATACCCCCCAATGTCGTATCGCCACATGTGTCGGTCCACGTCGTACGTGTGCATGAAGTCGCCGTAGTCGAGAAATCCATACCATCTACGCTGCTCAACCTGGCCCTGGTAGAACTTGGCAAAGAAGTCCAGATGGTGCTCTATCGTGCTGGCGGCCTGGGTGCTATTGTTTGGAAGGTCCCAGTACGTTCCAAGCGCCTTGGAGTCCCTGATGTGCTCTGGGGTGGCTACGAGCACTGGCGGGTTGTTGAGATGCTTGACGAGCGAGGAGAGCGTTTCTCCTGGGGGCGTCTTTTCGAATGCAAACAGTGAAATCTCGCTGGTCCGAGCAATTCCATAGGGCGTGTCGAATCCAGGTTCGTAGTCTTCGTATGTGATTTCGAGGGCATCAAGCTGATCAGCATAGTCCTCTTGACCCAAGCCGTCGTGGTAAGGGTGGAGATCCAGCGGCTGCGCCAAAGGACTGTACAACCACAGCGTGATAGACCCAGTGTCGGAGGCGGCGTTGGTGATGTCAAGGCCGGTAGGGTATCGCTTCCAAAAGTCTCGCAGACCAACAGCAAGGCCGCCGACTGTGGCTCCCCCAAGGTATGCAAGGCCTTCGGAGCGAGTGCCGCCTGGGATGTTGAGCCAACTTTGTCCGGCCTTGGTTCGCTTACGGAGGGTGAAGCCGTCAGAAGAGAGTTGACTCAGACTGTAGTCGTTCCAAGTGGGGATCCAGCGCATCCTGGACGAGACGGTGGTGGCCCATGTAGAGATGTCAGGCAGTTTCTCCCCTGCAACCTGGGCCGTTCTGACAGCGCTCCCTGGATCGCGTCGCAGCCCGGTGATTCCTTGCACGGCTTCGTTGAAAAAGCCACCGTTTACCCCTGAAATCCTCACATGGCGGTTGTACTGCTCTTCTCCCTCCAATGGAACATCCAAACGGACGCCGACGCCGGTGATGAAGTCGCTTGTCGCATTCCCGTCAAACACAAGGCTGTGCACAAGCCTGATGGCGCTGGAGTTGGCATACAAGTAGAATCTCAAAACAAAAGGCAGCCAATCGCCATGTGACGAGCCGTCCGACGGTGAGTGCTGTCCTTTGACGGTAACAAGGGTGCGCACTGAAGTCAAGTCGCTGACACTGACATTGCTAATGCGGCTTTGGAAGTTGAAGTAGTTGATGGAAATCTCACCACGGACGTCGGACGTGGCGGATACGGCGTCCTGTGACTGGAGCACCAACCGTCCGTTCTTGCCGACCTTCTTGCCGGCTGCAGTCTTGATCTCGTCGATGACGGCGTTGCCGGATTTGGGAAATGAGACCGAGATCTTGCCCGTGTCAACCTTGATATGTTGGGCCGACTCGGTCACGGTGACACCCGATGTTTTTCTCCGTCGTAGGGCTGAGTTGCTCCGAGTCGAACTGCGGGACGATGGAACTGCCTTGACCGTGTAGCCTTGAGGGACCGAGTCCGACGCTGGGATGGCATGGCCTGTCCATTTCAAGGAGCCATCTGGCCAGTAGCCTGTCGCCCAGGACTGCAGGTCTATGCTCTGACCTGAAGAGTCCGAAACCAAGAAAGTCGTGTCGTTTGGGAAGTATGCACCCCTTGGCCATGGAAGTCCAAAGGTAGCGCCCAGATTCAGCGAGGGCTTGACACCTAGCCAGTGGACGGCGGCTGAGGAGGAGCTAGAGTTGGTTACATGGAGGGCGTTTGCCGACTGGCCCAGGAGAGCGAGAAGGTAAAGGGAGAAGAGGGACGCGGTCAAGGGCGCCATCGTGTGGTCTTGTCTATGTTGGTTGTGGCCGGCTGCCAGTGGCTCCTATAAAGGGCCCACAGACACAATCGATCGTCGAACGGCTCTGGACCTCTGGCATGTACGTACAGGACGCGCGAACCTGCTTGTATAAGTCGATTATTATATGTCCGAGTCATGGTATTACCGTCAGTCCATATTACCGAAGCTAAAGCCGCCGATTTGTCGTTGAATGCCAACGAGGTGCCTGGATCGGTACTTGTCTCCCGGGACTGCAGCAGTAGCTTCGGTTCTCGTCCCTTACCTAGTCGGCGGCATATTCTTTAGACGAATAGTGCCGAGAAATGACGTGAATAAGTCAATAAGAAGCTTAGTCAGTCAACAATTCCTTGATGTTCTCCTTCCGTATATGTTAACGCGTACCTTCGCGGCTCGCCATTGTAGTTAGAGGCGTTAAGGGGTACTAAGTGGCGCGACGGGTTGGTTTAACCCGAAACCAGGTTGCGTGCTTGCCATGTATTGTACATTGACTCCAATCTCTGTTTGCTGTGGAGTGCGATGTTGTGATCGTCGATGGGCGAGAGCGGGGGTTACAACCCGTGTGGGACGTTACGCGCAAGCGAGAGGTGAAATGGCCTTGACGTCGGGTGAATGTTGCTTTTCGGGTCTGTTTCCTCCGAGTCCCTTGGCTCCACGACACCAGCAGTTCAACAAGATTCTAATTTCTCCAGCTGCACTCCCTCAACAACAAAGCCGCTTTAGCCATTCGCGACACGGAACATTGAGCCCGATACCTCCGCCAATGAGAATAGCGATATATCTTATACCACTGGCCGGCGATTCACTACATTGATGTCAAAGATGACAATGGGAACTCCGCCCGCGCCAGTGGCGGACGATTTATACTCAGGACTACTAGTATAACGTATAAGTTGATGGACGTTCAAGTGCTGAACTTCTGAAGATGTACGTACATCATGGCTACATCGAACTTGAATTGTCACCGGCCCATACTAGACGGCAAGTCTCCGAAGCTTCCAGTGACTGATTTTTCGCATATGCCGTTGGATGTAGCCTTCATTTCATCTTAACACCGAAATCGCATCGAAGTGACATACACTCAACTGAAATAGTAAGTCGTGGAGCTGCAATTTGGTATGAACTCGACTTGTAGACCGGGGGCTCAAACGAGGATCTTGTCGTGACCGGTGTAGTCAATGCCACTGAAGATCATGATGACGCGGGTTTGTGCCCCCATTGAGAAAAGACATGTACGTTCCTGCCCATGCGCAGCGGTGGAGATGTTTGCTAACAAACACCTGGACTGTCTCTCGGTACATGACGCCTTGCTCTTTCCCTCCATAGATGCCGCAGAAATTTGGCAAGTCCAGCCCATATATTTCAAGTCAGTATAAACCGCGCGCCCCCCCCCTCCTCCAAATCCTTTTCCTCTCAACAGTTCAAATGTCCCAACTCCCGATTCGTTGAGCTTCCGGTCTAAGTGTACAAAGTTCGAAGACGGAAGGAAATGCAGTAGGTATCAAGCCGGCAGGACGATGGCACCATTCCACGGATTTCAGTTTTAGCTTGCTCGCAGACAGGACCAAGGTTCATGCCGCGGCCTGTGGACTGGGGGGGCTGGGACTTCGGGAGCGAGCTGTATTCGGTCTGCCCACGATGACGGGGAAGAGGCTGGACTGCTGGACGACTCAGCTTAGATTACAAGAAACCTTATCCGCTGAGAGTCATACACACATGGAGGGCATCGAGGAATACAAATTAGGCTCGACTCAGAACACAGCAAGCAAGCCGAGCGTCTCTGGTCGAACATAAGGAACCAGTATAGATGGATGCTTGTTATCTTGGTAATGGCGCTGGGTTCAGCCCAGAGTCTTCAACTCACATCGTGTTCTCCGAGGCGATATAGAAACACATCGCATCTTCTGCCTTGTGTGATGCACCGAGGCCGGAAACTCTTTACAAGTAGTCTTTACTGCATTACCACAATTGCTGAGTTAATGTAATCCCCAGAATGGGAGCTGCGGTCAGCAACTGTAAGCATTCATTATCCAATATGATTATCTTCTATGGCCTAATACGCATAGAGCAATTGCTCTTGCTTTGGTAGCCTTATCCGTTTTATTGGCGCCTCCTAAAGACCTCTTCAGAAACGGCCAGGTCGTCGTCTCTTACTACGAGTCTCGTAAGGTATGTGTATCACAGATGGAACTGCCTGTTGTTTACTCACTTGATTCTGTTTCCTTCATGGCCCATCCTGCCCTGCCGGACCTCCCCAGCCTAAGCTCATATAGTGTATATACCTACCTATGTTTACGTGCTTACACAAAAGGGAAATGCTCCGAACTTCGTTATATCATTCCAGCTGCAATGGCCGAGGGATGCATTGTACTTTAAAGTTCCTCGTCCTCGCGGTGACATGCAAAGTGGTTGCCATATCATGAGGAGTAGTACCGGATTTCCATACTTAGCAAATACACTCAGTGGTATTCGATTCTTGGAAGGAGTAAGCAGGAAGAGACATCGCGACACCTACAGTCTACCGTAGACAAGTTACGGGACAATATGCGCAAAGAACAGAGGAGGGGCGCTCGGGGGCGAGGGGGAGGGGGCGGTAATCATAGAGTATAAGTTTGCGTAAAGGTCTGTACCGATTTTGGGCTTGTCGACAACCAGCTGCTTCGGTAGCGATGTTCATCATGATAATTCTAGGTTTGGGCAGCGATATGTCAACGGACTTGACGACGACGAGTTAGGGATGGGTTCCGTAAGTCCCGGGTTGTGTTACAAGTGGGGTATGGGCTTGTTGGGGAGGCGGGCGTTCACTTGCGGCGCTTGCATTAAGGGCGGGCTACGTCTGGGCCCTACCCCTCTCAACATCCATGGATCCGGCCCAGACATTGCATGTTCCCAAGTGTGCTGCAAGCCTGAATGCGTGTTCAAATCCAAGGCGATTAACTTTTCTTCGGAAAGAGATGGTAGGAAATCATGAACAACTTGACGTAATGGACGTCCCTCAGGAATCTCGATTGTGAGCGCTGGAGAAGAGACACCGAGGCTGTCGTGTTCCCCGCGTTTGGCGCTGGACGCGTCGGGCATGTCCGGTACCCCACCGCACCCCACGACGTCATCAGCCATAAGTCTCAAGGGGCCCTACCAAGCTCCAAGGTATCCGTATTGTATCCGTATTTGTACAGTATAATACAGTACAATACATACAGAAATGGATTTGAAAATGTTACTGAACGGTATAGGTACAAGACGGCAACAAACACGGAAAGGCTAGGGGGCATGCGATGGTGTGCCGACGAAATATCTACATACACTTGCTGTCAGCTGTCGGTTGGCAGTAGAACGGCCCCGTTTGCTCTGCCTGAAATATATCGGTGACCGGCATGTCAATTGCCAGGCCCGTGATCATGAGTGTGGTGGTGAGGCACACCGTGCGGGGCTACGGTATTGACAGGAGACTGGTCTTCAAGTTTGTAAGTTGAATTGGGTACCTACAATTTGCTTGTCCTTGAGGGAATTCCGGCTAAGATGCTGTTGCTCAGATTCAGTCGCTATGCTGATAAGAAGGGGGCGTGTGCAGAATACCTGGTAACAATCGAGGAATTCTCGACTGCAATGCAACCGCACTGCGCCCAACGCCCGGTAGGCACGAACGCAGACGCGCACTGCTCACTGGACGAACCTGATCACGACGGATAGATGGGACGCCACCCAACATGCCTAAAAATAATGGGAACTACAGTACCTAAAGAAGCACCGCTTGCCAGCCCTGGCCTGCAGCGTGCAGCTGCTACCTTACCTAACCATCCCTCTCTCGCGTGGTAATCACGAGAAACCCGGGAGCCTAGAGATCCTTGGGCCGCGCTATTTTCTTCCAGAAGACCAGCACTGCAGCAATCTCGATCCCATGCAGCCGTCATCTCGAGGGACGGACTGGAAGACCAACTCCATCCAAAGCGATCTTATTAAGCAAATGCCCTGTTTCTTGGTCGTCTTTACGAGATTCACTTCACAGATACGCGCTTGCGTGCCTGGCAATTATCGAACCAACAGGCAATCACCATCGGAGCACAGACTTCGAGTCCAGTCAGCAGTCATTAGGACGCTACAACCGGTCTAGCGGTGGTTTACACCTGCACCACATCTGTCACTCCATCCTCGAGCCAAGTGGGAGAATCACACAAGCGACGAGCAGGGTGAACGAACGACAAAATGTTACCGCCAGTGTCCCAAAACAGGCAGAAGATGTGTGCTGTGCTGTGCCCTGTCAGAGTGACACGGACCTCAGCACAGCAACAGGCCAATGATGGGCCGTGATTCCTAGCTGCATAGCTGCACGCAATCGCGGATAGCCGCCCGTCCAACCAAACACGGCAATACACTAGACTCTAGTGACTAGAGTGTCACTCTGTGTGCGCCAGTGCCCATTTGGAGGTGCCTGCTACGTTAAGAGTGATTGGGGTGATGGCTGACCACCACCTCTCCCTTTCTGTGTGCCCTTGTGAAAAGTAAGATGCATGGCTGACGATGTCCTAGGCACGAACAGTGAAAATGGGATACAGACTGACGCACCTGTCTTGCGGTGGATGGAGTCAAGGCAACGATCATCTTGGTGGACATGAAGTTGTGCCACTGCGCCGTTGATACAATACGTGCTGATAAAGATGGTGTTTCTGGACATTGCGTCGCTGACCGGAATGATAGTTTGTCAAGTAATTATCCACATATGATCAACGTTATATTGTCATCTTGTTCTGTTCATCCCCGGGCCAGGCCGGCTCACTTCCCCGCACTGGACACACGTACAAGGGACGGGAGACAAGGCTGGGAAGGCGCAGCTGTGGTGTGCTGTACATACAATACTGAGTACGGTATATAAGGTACGTACATCTATACGTCCCCCGACGAGGCTGCAAGTCCATGAGGAGCCAAGTAACCTGCAAGGACAATCCGCTACGTACGTGAACAGATCGCCCAGTATTCACTCGCCCTGCAGCTTCATTGGGCAGACAATGAAACGGCAGAGCTCCAGGATCAGGTAAGGCTGAAGTGACGCAGTTCGGCCGCCAACCTAGAGCAGCCTTGATGACTGGCTGGTCACGGCTTGAAACAACCTGGCCCTGCACCCTTCCATTGACTCGTGAAAAAGCGTCACAACGGATAGCTGAAGAAGTGAGCTGTAGTAGGAGGCACCTGACACGGATACCTATTGTTGTGGGTGCTCGGAACAACCGTAG